ATAAAGATAACATTATAGGCTAAAGAAAAGACAGACAATAAATTTGTCCCTTAGAACATATCATTAATAACTCACAAATTAAAAAAAAATCACTATTCATCATAGACTATAGCTTTTAGGTGAATAATACTTGTCTCTTAAATGGTGAGGAGAAATTTCCTCACGACTGCTGACTTAACATAATTTTGTTAACTATTGGTGAAACTGATAAAACCACCACTTTCACAACATTAGCCACTTTAGCTATTTCACCACTTCATACCAATAAATGCATGTCGCACCAATAGTGAGTCAAGAGACAAGCATTATCCTTTTTACACAGTTGATTATTTTTTAAGTCTTAATAGTGATTAAAATCACAAAACAAAGGGAGCACTTAAGGCTACAGAATTCATTGTACGGAAATTTGATGAATCAAATCATGAGTGTAGAAATTCTGAGGAAAAAAAGAAAGTTCCTCATACCAAAATGGCCTCAATCTCCTCTTTGGACACCGGTGTTTGTTCGGGTTGAAGAGAAAGTATGAGAAGCATCACCAGCCAAAGATGTTGCTTGAATGCGAGATTCAAAACCTGTCATGTAAATGATCACAAGTGTTAAGAAAAAACACAAACTATGTGTAGACAAAGAAATTTTGGTGCAATAAATTCCATTGGACGAGAAAATAATTAGGGTTCGGTGGATTGAATTGTGGGCCTCATAATTCACCCATGCACATATGACTCATCAAAATCGGATTAGTTGTCAAAAAGTGACACGTGGCGACATCCGACGGAGTGCATCAAACAGTTCAAGATGAAGACAAAATTAAGGGAAAGAATCTTCTGTGATTGACTTTGATTTAAATCAAATGTTAATCAGGTCAATCAATTGAAGATAATCTAGTTAAATTGCCAGATTATGAGAATTGATTTAAATCAAATCAAAATCCCATAAAACAAGGTTTTAAATAGGGAAAGTTATTTAGGTCAAGCATTCTACAAGAGCCTATAAATAGGAGGCCTCAAGACGAAAGAAGGGGTTCAGAAAAACCTAGCATTTAGAAGAAGCAGAAAACTCCTTGCATTCTTCACCTACACTTTGGAAGAGCCACCAAGCACAACAAATACGTGTCGGTTCCTCCACCCTAGAAAATCCCAAACACCAAACAAGCCTTGTGCTACCCGTTTGATCAAGATCAAGTCTCTACGACCCTTGCATCAAACACAAATTTTCTTTATACACTTTGGAGATCGAATCAGAGGATTCAATACAGAGATTGTAACCCTAAATTTCATTAATACAAATATTATTTTGTACACGTGTTCTTGTCTCATTTGTCGCAGGAAATTCGTGTTTACACTATGACTCAAAAAGAATAACATAGTATTTAAACAAACGTGTAAGACTCAATGGAGAAGAACAAGTAAGAGACTTCAAACAATACTTGAAAATTTGGCTTACAATTAAGATGAAGATCAAACAATAGATTCATCATGCATGTCCAAGTTTGCTACATCGATAGACATGCAACACACACAATGTATGTATTTAATGTTCTCTTTATCATTATGCTACCAACCACTATTAGGTTCTTAGAATGCCAATTACGACTGCAAATTGAAACATGATTTCACCTTATCAGTAGTTTTCATTAATAGTCTGACAGTATGATAAAATAGCGTTATCCTACACACATATATAATGAAAATGGCCAAAATTTGAATGCATAATTACATAATTCTTCGAGTCTAAATATTACATGACTGAGCATGAGGCAATCAAAACAAGAAAACTCAAAAGACAGAATTTTTTTTCCAAAGAATATCAGGAGAAAAAATAATAATAAAAGGAGACCTCTTAAGCGATGAAGCCGTTGAAGCTAGTAAGCATGAGAAAAAGAGCATATCTACAATGTTTTCATACAAAGAGCATGGCTTTTAGTATGTATTTTTAAAATTTAGAAACACATGCATACTCATTGAACCTATTTTAAAGTCGACTCTAATCCAATCTCCCATTAATTACTAAATCATGAAGCTATAAACAAAGCCCCACTTTAAATTGCTATTTCCAAATAGATAAATAAAAAGAGTAGACAGTACTGTATCATGCAAGTTTATGATCCATTAATTCTAGTGAATTCAATTCAATTCCACTACCCCATGTTGAATTTTTGACTAAAATTTATTTTTTTTTTTTTTTTTTTTTTTTTTTTTTTTTTTTTATTCTATCATCGCATTAGCCTAGTAGAGAAAAGAAAATTTCCCTTCCCCTCAATGTTCTCAACAACCGAACATAGGAAATGAGTTAAAAGCAAAATTAAAATGAGAGACATACATGAAATTTACAATTTGATTAAGGACTCTTATTCTTTACAAATATTCCATTACAATTATCTTCCTCAACCGTCAACATCATCATCACGATCAATGTCAACAATAACATATTAAAATTACACAAACTATACAAATTTAGAGTTGGTTTAATTAAAAAAGAAGATGAACCTAGCCCAGATTTTTGGATACACTAGGGTCTCCCCTTTCAAACTAGAGTTGGTTTATTCAAGAATGCAAAATAGAGATTTCTTTGTCTTTGTACCTCTCAACCTTGAAAGCCCTTGATATCCAGAAGCATGGCGGTTCTATTTACTAGACAAAAAAAACTCATTATCAAATTTAAACAGAAACTCACATTAGCAACAACCCAACTATCCAAAAAAATTACAGAAAGGAATAGAAAAACCAAACTGGCCTTTGATATCAGAAGAATCCCCAACTTTAAAGGTTTGAACTAATGAGAGAGAGAGAGAGAGAGAGAGAGAGAGAGAGAGAGAGAGAGAGAGAGAGAGCTTCTGCCATGGAAGCTTGAAGCTTGAGCAAGCTCGAGGGAACCAACAGCGAAGTGAGCTGAGATCAAGCAAACCAGCAGTGAAGCAATACAAAAATTTAAGAAAAACTCATTTATTTTGTTTTCAATAATAGGGTTTTTAACAATGGACCTACCAAATGAGTGTTTTAGACTTTGAACTTAAAATCTATTTTTGAGTTTATAAATTGGGACTCAAATCAAATACCAAACAATCCTAAACATCTCTAAATTTTTGGTTGATGGCAATGTAATATGTCTCTTTGTAATTATAATCACTTGAATACATTCCATTCATTTTGTCCTATAGGACCAAACAAAACTTGAAAGTCATATAGAAATGCCAAAATTTAGACATTAGCTTTTAGAAATTTTTACACTTTAGCCCTTCAACTTCTACAATATATATATGAATCCAAATTAGTTGAGGAGTTATTAGTCAATCGTCACTCTTCTCTTATGAAAACGCATGAGTGTTTGAATAACAGATCCTGAATCAATTTCAAATTTGTCAAAAATCTAAGAAAAATTGTGGGATTTGAGAATGAATAGAAAGCTAAGAAGGAGCTGCGAACCTCCGCCAACTCAATATAACCCCCGCCGTCTAATTCGTCGCCCACAAAAAACAAAAAGAATCCCCTGAACAGTGTGTGCCACGTGGGCTAACTCCATTGGTCCGTCATTAACACAATAAAACCTACAAATGGGCCAGGTTAAAAATGAAAAACCAACACATGGTTTAGAGAGAGAAAGGCTCTATAAACACGTTTCTCCAACGAAAAAACAAAATTCGCATATCCTTCTAATTTTTCATTTTATTTTTACCCCAATTTGATAATATCCCTCTCTCATAAACTTTCTCCCTCTAAAAAAACACTCACCACCACCACAACCGCCGTCGCCGTCGACGATAACCCGAAACAACGCCGTCTTCTGAAATCGGATACGCCATCTCCCGGCGCATCTTAGCCGCCGCCATCGCCGCATATCCCCACCACCGCGTACGACCCTTAACCCGACCCGGAAAACCGAAACGATAAACCGGTTCCTTGGCCCGGCGGTCATTTTCCGGCGAGGCCACGTGGGAAAAGGTGCGCACGATTATTAACCTGCGCGCACCCTCTATTTCTCTCCCTACCTGTATTGACCTTGTTTAGTAGGGGCTCTTACAGAGGTGGGTCTCTCTCTCTCTCTCCCCCTCTCTGTGTCAGCTCTCTAAATCATCAGCTTCTCTGTTTGGATTTGCTCCTTTCGATGTAAATTGTTTTGAAATTAGGGTTTCCGGGCATGGATTTAGGTTTGCTTTCTGTTTTAGGGTTTGTTTTGGAAGTTTGAAGGGGCTTTGGCGGTTGATTCTGTTCAAGTTTTCAAATTCGCTCTTTGATCTATTGATTACTCTGTTTCGCGTGATTACATGACTGGTATTGTGACATTGATCAATTTTGTTTTATTAGATTGGATTTTGGCGAATTTTCTGTTACTTCTAGCTTCATTTGCAGTGGTTTGGGTACTTAATTGTTTACTATCTAAGTTTGGTATTGATATGCTCGGCTATGCTTTAGTTTTCGCTGTCTATGCATTGAGTCAGAAGTTTCTACTAGTTCTGGACGTTTTTAAAGTTAAAACTGTATTTGGATTTCAACTGGAAGACTGGCGCTGTTTGCTGAGAATATGTGGGAAAGAAGGAAAACGGAATTTTGAGTTGGGAACTAATCATTTACTAGTAAGCTTAATTCCACGAGGCCATTCTGATGTTAAGTTGGGTCTGAGTCCAATACAGTTATTATTTTCTTGTGAATAACTGTTTGTGATGTTCATTTCTTAGGTTTTCTTTAGTTGCCTTCGGTTGGTGGGGATTTATAATATTTTCTTTTATTGTTCTCTGAATAAATGTCCTCCCTGTTTTCAATTTGCATGCTTGGAGTCGCATTTAGAATGTTAATTTATTTTTGCCAACACTTCACTGTAATTTATTTGTTTTTAAGTGAGCACTGGTGGTAACAATTTGTTCCACCTATAACTTGACCAGCCTTTACTCATATATTCTACAAAAGTCGTAGGTGGCAGCAGAAGCAGTAGTTGATAATTTGTTTTTCTAAATTTACAGGTGCAGACATTGTTTTAACGATTCCATAGAAGTTCCATGTGAAGGGATGGCCTTTTTCAGGAATTATTCTAATGAAACAGTTTCACGAAGTGTCCTGGAAGAAAAGAACCAGGGACAAAGTGTTGAAAGAATTCACAGTTCCACAGGGAATGAGGATGTAGATGTGATTTCTTGCGAAAAGGAATTTGATATGAACATGCATGTGCAGTATCAAAGTGAAGGTGAACACGATGATGCTAGTAGGTTGCAGAATGAGGCAGAAAATGATGAGGGTATTGCTACAAGAGCTTCTAATTTGCCGTCTTCTGGGAGGAGAACGGCGGTGGCTGGAAAATGGGGTTCTACCTTTTGGAAGGACTGTCAACCTATGTGCTCACAGGGCGGGTCTGACTCTGGGCAGGAAACTAAAAGTGGGTCTGACTACAGAAATGCCGTTGGATCTGAAGATAATTCTTCGGATGTCAGGGAAGATAGAATAGATTTTGAAGACAATGACAGGCCAAAAGTAAGCAAGGGACAACGGGGACATTCTGACATCCCTGCAGATGAGATGTTGTCTGATGAATATTATGAGCAGGATGGGGAAGAACAGAGTGACTCTATGCACTATAGAGGGTTTCATCATTCAGTTGGGTCGAATTCTAGGCCACAATCAAAACCTGCTGCAGTCAGTAACCATGCACATAGGACTTCTAGAGTTTTAAATGATAATGAAGATTATGATGATGGTGATGATGACAACGAAAATATTGATGCTGCTGATGCTGATTATGAAGAAGAAGATGAAGATGGTATTTGTTTTGCAAATATTTTTATTTTATTAGAATACTAGCAGTTGGGCATGGGATTCAGATCCTTCATATTGAATATACCTCTCATCATTTTGCTTAGAGATATACTTTGATGAGTAGTTCTTGACCTCTCATCATTTTACTTAGAGATGTACTTTGATGAGTAGTTCTTGACCCCTCTTCATTGTTGGAACGTAGATCTCAATTTATATTGTCTTCTTGCTTGCAGAAGATGATCCTGATGATGCAGATTTTGAACCTGATTATGGTGTTGCAAGTGGTCGTGCAGTGCAAAAGGTTATAGTCATAGTTGCCTAAGAAAAATTACATTGGAAGTATTATTTCATTGGCTTGAAGTTTTCAGAAGAGAGCACACACAAAGGGTTCTGACTGTTCCACTATGTCACAGCTAACTTTGAATTGTTCTATTTTATTTTCCCAATTTTTAACTTCGTCGTTTTTGTTTTTAACTGATATGGGATAGTGTTATCCCAACCATTATGCATGCACCATCGATGGTGCACCTATATGCATGTTTAACCCTGAAAGCTATATCTTTGCAATTTCTACTGAAACTATTTCAAAAGAGAAGGTATCAAAAAAGAAAGAAAAAATTAAAAAAAGAGATCCATGGTACTGTTTGTTGAATTACTTTCATGTGAACTTTTCGATTTCTCCATCTCTGTGTGTCTTTTGTGTTTGATGATATGTAGTGATTTCCTATCTTGGTTCTCTTTCTCACTCTTTTTTTTTTGGGAGTGGAGGGTGGGTTGGGGGAGGTGCATATTCTGTTGATATAATAGTGTTAGTGGACATATGAACTGGTGCTTTCTGTTGTACACTAATGAAGTTGTTCTTTGATGTCTTCTCAAAAAGTTGTTCTTTGATGACACCAGGATAAAGATTGGAGTGGTGAAAATTCTGAGGAAGATAATGACAGTGATGATGAGCTTGATGTGTCAGATGAAGATAATTCTTATTATGGAAAGAAACCTAAGAGTAGGCATCGTGGTAAAGGTGGGCTTAGTGTTAAATCTACAAGAGAACGCAAATCATATCATGCATCTAGTCGCCAAAGAAGAGGGAAGTCTTCCTTTGATGATGAAGAGTCCTCGGCGGAGGAATCTGAAAGTGAAAGTGATGAGGACTTTAAAAGCACAAAAAGAAAAGGTGTACATCTCCGCAAAAGTAATGGCCGAAAAAATGTCACTGGACGAAATGGTGAGGTACGGACTTCTACTAGATCTGTTCGGAAGGTTTCATATGTTGAAAGTGAAGGAAGTGATGAAGTTGATGAAGGGAAGAAAAAGAAGTCCCAAAAGGTATCGTCTACCTTTCTGATGTTACATTGATGCATTTCGATGGAATCTATTTGAGATCACGTTCTTAGTTCACATGTTTAATTTTCAAGTTGGAATTATGCACCATATGGATAACTTACCCTAGATGTGCCCCAAGTGAAGAAGTACATGTTTGTATAACAACGATTTGTTATGTTATGATATATTTTATTATTAGACATAGGTACCGCCGAAAGCTCTAGATGCAAAAGATAATGTGATCTAAATGCAAATGATTGTAGAATTTGTTTTGGGCATAAGATGAACTGCTGCTTTGATTATATTTTCTAAAGTACAGTATGGGTATAATTCATATTGACCGGATAGGAGTGTAAAACTTGAATGCAATGCAATTCTTGTCATGCTAAGTCAAGGCTGCTGACTTCTTGCGACTCATCTTTCTCTTTTAGGTTAAAGTTTTCATTTCATGTCAGGAAAAAAGGCTTTTAATTTGCTGAAAAATTTAAGCTGGATTTTCCCTTTACTGGTGTTTAAGCTTTTGCTTGATCATCCCTTTTCTAAGAATTTGAAAATCCTTTGATCTCCATGTAATAAATGGTGATAGTTCTAATATGTAAGCGCTTGAGTAAAGTGCGTGTGCGAGTCGTTTTTCTTAACTGCGACAGTTGTTTTCATAATGAAATGCTTCAAATGGGGAAAGAAAATGTAATGCTCTCAGGAAACTCTTTGTATTTGATGCTCCATGTTGTGAATGTCTGTTTATTTCTTTACTTCCAATTGTCAGACTGCTAAATTTCAGGTTACCCCTCATCGATAATATGTTAAGAATTTTGTTATGTTATTTCATATGCTTAATTTCTCTTTTTAATTTTGTACTCTGTTATTTTAGGAGGAGAATGAAGAAGAGGATGGTGACTATATTGAAAAGGTGCTCTGGCATCAGCCAAAAGGCATGGCTGAAGAAGCTCTGAGGAATAATAGATCAACAGAGCCTGTCTTGTTAAGTCACTTGTTCGATTCTGAGCCAGATTGGAATAGTATGGAATTCTTGATAAAATGGAAAGGCCAGTCCCATTTGCACTGTCAGTGGAAATCAATTTCCGAGCTACAAAATGTATGCTTTGTCATTTTTCTTCTTGGTTATGCATATGCTCTGGATTGGGACAATCTATTACATATGTCTTTGTCAAATTTAACTGGTGCTGTAACTTTACCTTTCAGTTTTATCTTTACTTTGATCTGTTGTTCAAGATGCTTGATATGCTTTTGCCTTTGTGACTTTGCAGCTTAGTGGTTTCAAGAAGGTTTTAAATTACACTAAAAAGGTGATGGAGGATGCTAAGTACAGGAAGACAATCTCACGTGAGGAGGTATTCTTTTTGTTCCTATTTTTTTATATTTATTTTAGAGTTTCTTTTAGTAGTAATTGTATATAAAGAAGAAAGATAGATATATTAATATGTTATTTAATAAATAACTTGAACTGTATTTAAGTTAGGCCATTGGATTTATACAACTATTGTTGCTTTAAGATATAATGTATGCTTTCTCATGGTAACAAGATGTGATATGAGGTACAGTTATGCGGAATATGTGAAAGGAGGGTTTGCAAAATCTGCCCACACCAACAAAACCAACCCAAACTAATCAAAAATAATTTTTTTTCTTACTCATATTTGTTTTTTAGAGGACAAGAAGCTTACCAATTGATTATTATTCTCTTTTTAGGGTTGCCAGTATAAGTATAGACCATTTTACCTATTGAGATTTTGTTAGCTTAAATAAATTTTTTTTTGATGTCCATCTAGGTGAATTATATAAATATTGCCTTTCAAATCGTGGTGCATTATTTGATTCGATCAATAAATTATAATAAATAGAAAGAATTAATTAGATTGATCAATAAATTTTAAAGTGCATAAATGGATGACGATTGTTTAGCGAAGGAAGTTAATGGGAACATTTTCTTGAGGAAGATGATAGTGTGAGTGATATCAGTAATGTAGATTGGAAGCACGGTTTAATAATAAAGGTGGTAACATAACAAGAACAAATAACATGATTGATAGATATTTTTTCTTTCTTGTCTCTGTTTTAAAGTAGGGCCAAATACTCTTGAAAAGAACATGTTACTGAAAATGTAGGGCTGAATACGGTCGTAAACCACATGTTACTGAAACTGTTGGAATCCAGTGATATGTCAACGCTCCCTTCAATTTTTATACCAATTATAGACGCATGGGTTAACATTCACTAATAGAAATTCTTTTGGGGTGGCATGCATGGAGACGAATAGAAGGACATTTGAGGGAGCACAGGTTGATGAAGTGGATCTTTTGTGGGATAAGTTCGCTTTTGGGTGTTGGGCGTCCGTTTCTTCAGCATTTAGAATAGTTCCTTTCAGGCTTTATTTTGTGATTGGAGTTCCGTGTTTTCATTCATTCAATATTAGGGTGTTTTAGTTTTGCAGTTGTAGTTGAGCAGTTTACTCTGACTATTGGACAACTTGTCCCCTGTATTGTAATTTTCCTTTTGTGTTTTTGAAAAATTATTTTTAGTTAGTTTCACTAAAACACCCAAAATGGGGGCTGAAATTATAAAAAAACCCAACACCTAAAACACTTTATAAACACACCCAAAACCCATCATTACACACACTCAAAACTCATTTATAAACACACCCAAAAAATATACAATTGTTGATTTTGGGTGTGTTTCTATGTTTAAATAGTGTTTGAGTTTTTTTAATAAATACATGTATATAATTGGGGTTTATTTATAAATTTGTATTATTTTATTGATGGAAGTATTTTTGTTATGAAAAGGAAGCATAGGTTAAGCCAGGCCTACCATATGGTATTTTCTATGTTATTCTTAGGAGATGGTGCTCAAAACATGAATATGAGAAATGGATAAGGAGTGAGACACTGGAGATAAATTTATTTTTTCAATGTCTTTTCATGTATACTGTTCCTTTTCTTATTGAAAGCTCGTGTATACTGTCATTTAAAAGTTGATACTTCTTGATCTATTATAAACTTGTTCTGTTTCTTTCCCATGTGTAATTGCTATTTCACCTTCGTTGTCCTCCCATAATGATAGAAGCTTTAGTAACTATTGTTATTGTTTTTTATTCATGTGAAGTAGCTCATTTATCACTTTTCTTTTCTGGGGTTATGTATATGCCTGCTAGATTGAGGTCCATGATGTGAGCAAAGAAATGGACTTAGATCTCATCAAGCAAAATAGTCAGGTTTGCTTTCCTGCATTTCACCATTTTTGTTTCACTTTCCCAAAACAACATTTGTCTGTTTTTACTTACAATTGTTTATATAACTGGTATTCAGGTGGAGAGAATAATTGCAGACCGGATCAGGCAAGATAGCTCAGGTGATGTGGGACCCGAATATCTAGTCAAGTGGCAAGGATTGTCTTATGCTGAAGCAACATGGTATGTTAAGCTTGACTTAAAGTTAATCATTTTCTGTTTAGTACTGCTTTATTTGCTCCTTTTCCTTGCCTATCTATTTCATATATGTGTAGGGTGTTAAATGTTGCACTATTTATTCTAAATTAGCTTTTCTTAACCCTTGCAGATTTCTAGATCTTTTATCTGATATAGTGTTTGACTCTTTGGTGTTGTGGTGTTTCTTTCGTTTTAATTGTAGTAATGAATGCTTATATTTTTTAGTGGTATGTGATTATAGGGAAAAGGACGTGGATATCGCATTTGCACAAGATGCTATTGATGAGTTCAAGGTAGTGTGGTGTCTTAGTTGTCTTCATGTTGTAAAATGTTCATGCATTTAAAGGTCGCTTGAACATTGACAGTTATGTTTATATTACTTATCTGCATAGTCCTATTGTGTGCACATCTTTATGTTACATGCTTGACATGTCTCTCTATATATGTGCTAGGTTTGACACATCGATTTACTTCTGAATCATGGTTTACATGTTTGCGATAGATATCAGTATGCATTGCACATTAAGTGTGAGAATGTATGCTTAACATTGATGTTTGGTTATGAATGGTAACCCAATATGATGATGTGAGCATGCATGCTTGGCATTGAATGTTTGGAATGATTACCCATTGTGATTATTGATAATTATGATGAATGATATGAAAGCATTATACAAATAACTGTTAAAAATATTAATGGAAAGTTGGGATTACTGTACATGGATATGGTGGCTTTCTAGAATTACTCTATGTAAGATACAAAGGATTCCTAAAATATTTAAGTACTAAGGAGGGGGAAAATAAGAATCTCTGCTGCCATAACTAGGGATGTTGTGGAATGAGTTATAATGTTTTACCTTAAATCTCTAGTGATTGCAAATGTTTCATCAATTGGCATTTGAGCTTGTTAAATTTATGCTAGGGTCCTGTTAATAGGAAAGGATAAAAACTGTATAGGTCATAAACAATATGCCAAAGTACTTATTAAAGAAACTAATAAAAAGGCTTATGGTGAAGCCATACAGTAGTGGGGAATTTGGAGTAACATGTGTTGTGGTATATGAAGGTTAAACACCAAGTAAGCTTTCTTTGGTTGAGGCATACGGGAAATCTTACATGATAGATCCAATTTTTTCATATGCAAGCTTCGTTGGTTTTCTGGGAAAAAAAGAGTTGGTAATTTATTTTTATGGCTGATGACGAGATAGGTGCTTGAGGAATTAGGAAAATACTATTCAAAAAGGCTCTTCCTTTGGCCACTTCATTGGGTGTTTTTTTCCTCCTAAAGAGTTGCTTGGGGCTTTTTGGTGTTCTCTTCTTTATTCTTGTTTTCCTTAAATATGATGATATGTCAATTTTTCTCGGGGTGAATTTTTTATGATCAACAAACATTCACACATGATTAGAGTTTTGTTCTGAGTGTAATCCGGCTTGTGGTACTTCATTATGAGCAGGCTCGTGAAGCTGCGATGGCTGTACAAGGGAAAATGGTGGATCTCCAGCGCAAGAAAACCAAAGGTTGGTGATTTGGGGTCTGGAATTTGCTTATCGTTTTCTGGTTTGCATTTTTCTTGCTTCTGAAAGTCAATATCAATTCACAATTCGTTATTCTCTAAAAAAATTCACAATTCATTATTCTCTAAAAAGAAATCACAATTTGTTTTCTTACCCTGAAATCCTCCACCTTTTTGTCAACTAAAGGCAAGGTATTATATGCTGTTAAGAGAGTGTTTCTCTTCGTTCTATTGTGATAGTGGACTTCTTGTCCAGTGTTGGTTGTTCTCATTGTACCTTCCTAACTTTTTAAAAGGAAAGTCAATGTTTCCAATAGAATTAAGTATGGTTCTTTGTGTGCACTTTTGTACACTCCTACGTACGTGAAGAAAGAGTTTATCTAATCCAGTGAAAACCAAACTTTGCTGATGGTTAGATCAAGTGCACTCATCATATCCTCATCTCTCAATTCTGTTCCCTGATAGAAGTACCGATATTGTTAGTATTCCTAGACTTTGAACTTCCATTTAGCGTTCATGCCATGTGAATTTCATGAAGTCTTAAAAACAAAACTTCAGTTAAAACACTCATTCTTCCCAGATTTACCCTCTTAACTTGTAACGCAAAACTTAACAAGAAAACTCTGGAGCTGCCAAGGAGAGGACTTGATTTTTATTATTTATGGGCTGGATCATGAAAAGAAGAAGCAGCCACTTATAGGATGAAACGAAGCAGTGCGTCAGAGAATCATAGGTGTCAGCTAAAGATTAAGAATTGAAATAAATCTAACAAAACCAACCCAAAATCCGAGAGGTGCCTTCTTGTTATATCAGACGCCTACATCTTAAATAATTTTGTCTCTGGTTTTGGGATGATGCTTAAACTTCAGACGCTTCTCTGTTGCAAATTCATCAGACGGTATCCTTTCCTGAAAACCCAAAATTAAGAGAGTTTACCTAAATCCAGCTAGGACACTTATTTTTTCATGAAAAATCATCCCAAAAATTGCCTTTCCTCTCTTACTCTCACAAGCATTCTATCGGAAAATGTAGGAAGCGTCTTAGTTGTAATGAGTTTCAAGACATTAAAGTTTGTTTTTAGGAGTTAGTGGAATGCACAGGGCATGAGATGTGTGGCAAAGGTAGAAAGGGAAAGGTGGAAGGGGAAGGTAACCGACCCACCAACCAATGCCCTGTCATTTTCCTTTTTCATGTTAGTACTAATGAAAATTAAAAGCTATAAATAATTGTTTGTTTGTTTTTTTAAATTTTATGTATTTATTTTGAATACATAGATTTGGTAGGAGTATTAAGGTATAATTAGTGCAAAATACATAATGGAGTTTCTGCTCTTCCAATTTTTGTCTCTTTTACTTTCTTTGACTCATCTTGTTTTATTTGCTGTTCTTGACATACAGTGTTTATTGATAATACAATTTTTTTTTTTGGGTAAATAATATTTAGGAAGTCTAAGGAAGCTTGACGAACAGCCCGAATGGTTGAAGGGAGGAAAGCTACGTGATTATCAGCTTGAGGGTTTGAATTTTCTTGTCAATAGGCATGGCTTGACTTCTACTCACCTTTATTGTTGGAAAATAGATACCTTAATATGCCCTCCTTTGAATGTCCTAATCACTGGTTCTGCATGTGGCAGTTGGAGAAATGATACCAACGTCATTTTAGCTGATGAAATGGGTCTTGGTAAAACTGTTCAATCAGTTTCAATGCTTGGTTTTTTACAGGTGAAGATGAGATTAAATTCTTTGCTGACTGGCGTGTAGATTGTTATATATTGAATGTAACTCCAAACAAACATGAGATTGTAATATACTTGAGACACTAACCTTTTCCTCTTTAATTATTGCAGAATGCTCAACAGATCCACGGGCCATTTCTTGTTGTTGTACCATTATCCACGTTGTCAAACTGGGCCAAAGAATTTAGGAAATGGCTACCTGATATGAATGTTATTGTGTATGTTGGTACCCGTGCAAGCAGAGAGGTAAGCCAAGCTTTCTTGCACAGGTCTACGAGGTTCATATATGAATAGTTGGATATACGGTTTTACTTGCATTCACTGTTCATTCATAAGTAAAGATACTTACTAAACCAAGCCAGGTATTATTATATTTGAAATTTAATTTCTTGCAGTCAGTATCACGATAATTCCATGACAAGTATGTTGGTTCACCTCTCCTTTGTCTTCAGTGTAGAAGTAAAATTCCCGTAGAGACTTGTGAGATCTTGATTTTGAGCAGCTCTCCTCTCCTTTTTTCTTTCTTCTTTGGTTTCTTTGTTTTTGTTTGAGAACTCTTCAGTTTCAATCCTTCATATTGATGAAATGATAGGCCAAATACCTCCTAATCCTAGGGTACAAGTTTTTGCTTGGATTGTTTGCTCCCAGGAGGGTGAATACATGTGAGGTAAATGAAACAGGCCTTGTGTTTGCCTTTCTGCAGACTAGCGCATTATCTGAAAGTGGGTAGCCGAGAATATTGATCAACCTTTTCCTTCATTTCCCAGTGGTGTAAGCTTTGTCAGGTTTCTCAACTGAGTTGGGTTGTTCCATTCCATCCTCTTGTGCCTTTTATTTGTCAAGAGGTTAATTTTGTGCCTTCCGAGGTGGATTAAAGTCTTAAGTGTTGTGGAGGTGTGTCAGAGTTCTCCGAACACAGTGACTGTTTGTTCTTCCTTTTAAACTTGGTTTGAGAGGCATCTATCTCTTAGCATGCTGGGGTTCTGTTTGGCTGTATTTTTGTTTTGCTTGTAGGTGGTTGTTTTGGGGTGTACAAGCTCAAACTTGTAGCCTTGTTTTACTGTTTTCTGTTCAAGTTGTGTTCAATCTCTTTCAGATGGAAGACTACTTGTCATTTATCTGTATTAGTTATGTATCAATCTATTTCTGTGATCATTTCCCTGTGAAAAAACCATATAATCTATCATGCTTTATAGGTTAATGTCTAAGAATAGTGTGGTACACTTTTACTATTGGGGTTTTCAGTCTATATTATCATGTATAAATTCTGAGGCGTCTATTACATGAGATCTTTCTGGAGTGTTTTCTTTTTGTTGGGCTTCAGTTTGCTCGCCAATTTTTTCGCTAGGCCGGGAATATTAATTAAAATTTACAACTATGCACCCATGACCATTTTCCCCATCCTCTCTTTCGCTCAACCCCTTTGTCACTCTTTTCTTTTCAATGTTCTCTCCACTGGGACAACCTACCCGGTTTTGATGCACTTAACATAAGAGAGCAAGCACAAAATGGAATTTCTCCCTTGAGTGAGGGCCATGCCCCAGGAAGAATCTTTCAGGACTTTCTCCTTAAGTTGTAATCTTCTCTTTTTGGTAATTTAAATTTATGTACATTATCAATTTAAGGCAACCTGTGTTTGGTGAAACCCTAAGACACTAATGTGGACATGGACGAAGAATGATAATTTCTCGTATGGACACATTAGCCTGGTTGCTTGAAAAAGACCAGATGTCAGGCACATCTTGATATATGTGCATCATTCTGAACCCAGACATTTTTAGTTGAGTGTTCACTTACTGGTAGATTAGGAAATGGCTTGGTCAGTGCCTTGTTTGGTATAACATGTTTAATGTCTAAAGAAAGCTTGCTTCTAAAGGCATTTTGTATAAATTTATTGAATTTTGGTATTCCAGGGTGATCACAATGGTGAAAGGGATTGCAGCTTTGTATTTTCTTGTGGTTAATGCTTGTCTTCTGGGATCTTCATTGTCCTTGCAGTTTGATAATTGAAAAGTCACTCTGCGGGCTCTTTTTTTTCCTTGTATTGACTTGATACTGTCCTTATCTTCATTGTACTTTATAAAGTAGTTTTGATGTACTATACAGGGTGCCCATGCAGTTTTGTTCTTTATAAACTATTTTATTTGTTTGTCAATTTCTTTTGATTGTAGGTTTGTCAGCAGTATGAATTTAACAACAGTAAAATAGTTGGCCGGCCTATAAAATTCAATGCACTATTGACTACATATGAGGTGGTTTTAAAGGATAAGGCTGTTCTTTCCAAGATAAGGTGGAATTATCTAATGGTTGATGAAGCTCATAGGTTAAAGAACAGTGAGGCACAGTTGTACACAACCCTCTTGGTATGTAATTATGCCAATCAATTCTATCACGCCTTGTGTATGGATCTATCAAGTTTAATCTTGTGTTACGCTAAATGATGCCATCCTGGTTTGGCAGGAATTTAGCACCAAGAACAAGTTGCTTATAACTGGTACTCCATTGCAGAACAGTGTGGAAGAGTTATGGTAATGGTTTGTTTCTTGTCATGATATTCCTGCATGTGCATGCAAAAGTAGTGCCCATATTTGTTTATAATTGTTATTTTTGATCATGTATCGATATGTCCTTATCGCAAAGGTTTGCTAGGGTATCTGAATATAGTGTGGCTTATCTAACCATGAATGTTCGTTATTCTGCATGTTTTATATTTTCCAATAAAGTGCATTTCTTTGTATGTGTGTGTGTGCGTGTGTTTGCTTAATGGTTGGATCCAAAAGTGATTCTGTACACCTTTGAGCGCATGTTTGTGTGTTGTGGAGGGGTGGGTGGTGGGGATTGCATTCATCTCTGTGTGTTAGCACTTTCCTCTTGCCCTGCATTAAATCATTTTGGAAAAATCAATATAGGGGTCTAGTTGAACCCAACAAACTACTGATTCTCCCCATTGCACTTATTTTTTTCCAAGAAACTTACTTAAGATAATAACTAAAAACTTATTTATGATTATTATTAAAAAAAAAAAAAAAACAAACTATTTAAGATAATAAATAAAAAAAGTTAAAAACACGAAGACCCCCTACTTCTCTCTCTCTCCTCTCCTCTCTCTCTCTCTCTCTCTCTCTCTCTCTGTGGCCCCATATGCGACCATCCCTTGGGTTTAGTGCCGAAGGAAGAGAGGAAAATGGAAATAGAGAAGGGGTTGGGAGAAGACGGTTTCTGGGATTTTGGGAGAGAACTTCGAGACTGGTGGGGTGGAGGTTTTGGATGAGGAGGAAATGGAGGGGAAGGGAGAGGATAGAGGGATGTAGATAATGTTTCCTTTATAAAATTAGCAATAATGTTAGAGACACCAAATTTGTGCACCACATTTGAGTCCCAACTGATGTGGCATATGACACTTCATCAATTAATTGCCAACATGTATCAAATACCAGCAATTAATTTTTGTAAAAAAAAATTAAAGCATAAATGTTAAGTTTAATTAACCAAATGAAATCCCAAAACTGATCACCACCATATCCCCTCAACAACGAGATCTCCCCACCCCAACCACCTACAGCTTCCCATCATCCCAGACAATCCAAGAGGCTGAATTGTGTATGGCAGATTTCTCCTCTAAAAAAAGTTGTGTATGGCAGATTTCTGGGCTATCAGTTCTAATGGAGTATGCCTTACAAGAAGAACAGAAAAGCTTTTAGATCTGACAAGTTTGAAAAAATTTGTGATTTGGTGGTGAATCAGAATTGTTCTTTTTTTTATATGTAAAACTATAAATAATTCACTAGGAATATGTTTCTATTGATCAATTTTGTTTAAGAGAAGATTTAGAAGATTTTTTTCGTTTACCAAAATCAAATGGGAAGTGAATGGCTGGGAGAAATTTTTGTTTGCAAATCTTTTGCTGCTTGAAAGAATCTATGAAGGTTGAATTGGTGTAGGCTGAGTTGCTAGTAAAGGTGCAGCGGCGGTGGGACTGGTTGTGGTGGAACACGGTGGTTATTAGGTTTTGAGACTTTGGATTAATCAACTTACCTGTTTTTTTAAAATTTTTCTTTATAGAAAAATCCATGCTGGCAATTTTATTAAGTTATCGTGATGATATGGGATGCGCCACATCTTTGGGACTCAAATTTGGTCTAGCATTACTGTAAATCAATATTTCAATTCTGTTTTTCCAGGAAGCTTAAGTTGTACCAAAAAAATTAAAACTAGAGATGATCGACTAGTGAGTAATGTTTGGGTTCAATTAAACACTGGCACTGATACACTAGATCACACATAAGTTTTCAATTATATAGGTTCTTTCTTCTCTGTAAGATTTGATTGACTGGTACTCATACGCTAGATCACACATAAGTTTTCAATTATATAGGTTCTTTCTTCTCTGTAAGATTTGATTGACCGGCACTCATACACTAGATCACACATAAGTTTTCTTATATGTTTTTTGATTTCTCTATTTCTTTTCTTTTTTGGTTTTTCAATGTTCAAATTTTATCCAGGGCTCTGCTGCACTTCCTTGACTCTGATAAGTTCAAGAATAAAGATGATTTTGTTCAGAGCTACAAGAATCTCAGTTCATTCAATGAGATTGAGGTACAGTCGAGCGAATTTCCTTTATTTTTAATTATTTTTACATCTAAACCTTGAAATTAATGTTTGCCTTGCATTTACGTGTAGCTTGCTAATCTTCATATGGATGAGGCCTCACATTCTCCGAAGAGTTATTAAGGATGTGGAGAAGTCTTTGCCTCCAAAAATTGAACGAATTCTTAGGGTTGAAATGTCTCCCCTTCAGAAACAGTACGTGGTTCAACTTGTAATGAAATGGCCCTTAGTTTAGATCCTTTCAGAGATTTGACATTTGCTCTTTGGTTCTGGATAATTTACTTTAGGTACTATAAGTGGATTTTGGAACGCAACTTCCATAATTTGAACAAAGGAGTTCGTGGAAATCAGGTTATTTCTTCTGTCCTCTGCCTTTTGTATAATTATTTGCTACTGTAAGGTTTGCAATTAGTCTCAGTCTGAAAACCATTTTTTGGACTGAAAACACAAATTTTGACTGGATCAACACGTCGGAGTTATTTCTTTCTGTGTCTGTGTTTTATCCCAATCTTAAAAAAAAACTGTAATATTTTAATGAGAAGAAAGAACTGTTGTGTCTCTGGTGAAAATTGAAAATAGTGTCTCATAGTAATTAGGGGCTGTATATATATATTATTATTTTTTGAACAGAAACATTTTTATTCAAAATTTGAAGGATAAAAAACGAGGACATTAGAACACAGACAAAAAGAAAGAAACACTAGCCGGTGAAACAAACACAAGGCTACTCAACACAGAAAATAAAACAGCCAAACATAAGACAACCCCTTAAGATACTGCTGCCAGCAGATTGCGCATAATTAGGGGCTGTTTATATTCGAAACACCCTCGGGGTCAAAGGGAAATTAGGAAAGGCCTGATATACTAAGTAGACATTATTTGGTAATTCTCTGGCACAATTTTTAATTTATTCATACTGCCCAATGTTCTCACAAAATACACATTTTTATGTAACTTGTTAGTATTCCCAATTTCCTAGACTCTAACTATTAAATATAAGGAACTGGATAGACTGACTTTTCACTAATATCGTAAATCTTTTGCTTCAATCTGTCTGCTTGGAGAAAACTTGTGCTCGACTCCACTCCAATGATAAGATATTTTCAAAATTTAATTGCTTCAATTTCTTTTGCACATATTTCTGGACACACAACATTTGAGTGTCAGCCTTCAACTCTGACTTACAAACTAAGTAATTGATGGACTGTCTTTGATAACACTTGATGTTGATAAAAATTTGTACAGTACCTTTTACAGATAGATACACTCCCTACTCTGTCGGGTTGTATTTCCTTGAGGGAAAACCTGGTATAAGTGTAAGAAATGACAGTGTCTGGTTAAAGACTGATGTCTTCAAATTATCACTATGTACAATTGTTGATAAAGTCGACAATACCCTCAATACTGATTTCCATGTAATAGTTAAGGGGATGTTCGGTATCCTATTCAAGTAGGGAACTCTAAAACCTTGATTTTTCTTAAAAAGAAGGAGTTCTAAAATCCATTTTAAGATTCAAAAACTTGTTTGATATGCAACTTGAAAACTGTTTCTAAATTGGTTGAATTCTTTTGCCACTTAATTGAAACAAATTCTTAAGTTTGGGTTTTCAAAACTGGTTCGACCAAACAGATTTTTTGGACTCAAATAGAATACTAAACAGGCACCAGCAAGTGGTTAGTTGGAATTGTCAGGCCCATGGTTTGTTGCCATGTGTTCTGAGGTTCGAAACCCCCAAAGGTACCTACCTAGCTATTTGCTGTTTCCTGCCTCCCAAAGATTGTATGGCTCAGCTGGGGGCTCCAGTTTCAAAGCTGTGTCTGCAATGCCGATTGATGGATTTCTGGGTATTAAAAAAAATAAAAGAATACCAAACAGGCCCTAATGTTGACTAGTGGGAAAGAAGAGAAGGTGTGGATGTGTTGATTCTATTGGGAATGAAATCAGTTGAAGAATGCCTGTTCTTCCTTCACTATCCTTTTTTCTGTCTAATCATTATTGAAAGTAATAACATTTTCATTCTGTTTTTAATATTATTTTTGCCCTTTCAGGTTTCATTGTTGAATATTGTGGTAGAGTTGAAGAAATGTTGTAATCATCCCTTCCTGTTTGAAAGTGCTGACCATGGTTATGGAGGGGACTCGAGTACCAAAGATGGCAGTAACTGGAGAGGATTATTTTAAGCAGTGGGAAGCTGGTTATACTCGATAAGCTTCTTATGAGATTGCATCAAACAAAGCACCGTGTTCTGATTTTTTCCCAGGTTTGTTTGTGATGCAGTCATGTTGATTGTGCTCCTTGGAAAGTCGCTTATGGATTATTAAGTTTGATATATTGTTAGCATGGACTTCCCCCTTTGTTGATTCATTTTGATGCATTGCTTAGCCCATTTAATTAAATCGTAGAATCCATATCTGTTTAGATCTATCGTTTGTAGGACAATCATCTGTTAAAGTAGCGGTCTGTTGGCTGTTTGAGGACATGACACTGGTGGCCTCCTTCAAATGATACTTGTATTTGTTCTACCATTGCCTCTTTTTATTTATAAAAGAAAAGATTGCAAAACTCAGGGTAAAATTGTTCACATTTCATACATCATTTCGTTCACAGGTATTTTCAATATATATATACAGGAAACCACTGAAATATGATCAGGACATGTTCATATAGCCATTTCCTTGTGTCTTGAATTTTTTTCTGTTTCGGGTTACACTACTGTATTAATCTTTGATTCATCTTACTCCCAAGCCTGTCCAAAAATTAAGTGTATTTTGTTTCTGTAGCAGCCAATCACGCAGAATCACTGAAGTATTGTTGCATGTGCTAATTGTTAGGGACTACACAATCACTGAGGCAGTTGCCCTAATGCTTAGTTTTTTATGTGGCAGCTCAATCATGGGGTTATTGGCTTTTTCCTCCCTGTACTGAGTCTTGTGTCGTACGAGGGTGTATTAATTATATATTGCTAGTTAAGGACTAGAATTGCAAATCCTGCTTTATTAGCTTGAATTTTTTTATACTGATATACTATGTACTAAGTAATTGGGATGATTTATTGCAGATGGTAAGAATGTTGGACATACTGGCAGAGTATATGTCAATTAGAGGGTTTCAATTTCAACGCCTTGACGAAGTACGAAGGCCGATTTACGCCACCAGGCAATGGAACATTTTAATGCACCTGGCAGTGAAGATTTTTGCTTCCTGCTTTCAACTCGAGCAGGTGGCCTTGGTATCAACCTTGCCACAGCGGATACGGTTATAATATTCGATTCAGATTGGAATCCTCAAAACGACTTGCAGGTTTAAAGACAATATCTTGGTTATTTTTACTTTTACATTTTATTTAATAATCCTCACGCCCAAGACCAGAGTTCAAACCTCCCCCTTTCCTTTTGGCCTCCTTTGAACGAAATTAACACCGCTCTTTAATTATGAATCAGGCAATGAGTAGAGCTCACAGAATTGGGCAACAGGAAGTTGTTAACATCTATAGATTTGTCACGAGCAAAAGTGTTGAGGAAGATATCCTGGAAAGAGCTAAGAAAAAGATGGTAGATTACATAGCATAATCTTGAGATTGTTTTATAAATTTTCAATTGTCCAGTTCGTGACACATCAGGATCTGCATATACATGCATATATTTATATACTCAATTTTTCACTTGAGGCCTATTTTTAATTTAATATGTTTTCTTTGTTTCAATGTTTTTTTTACAGGTGCTTGACCATTTGGTGATTCAAAAATTAAATGCAGAGGGTAGGTTGGAGAAGAAAGAAGCAAAAAAAGGAACTTTATCGACAAAGTAAGGGCTTGTGTTGAATTGATTGTTTTATCATGCTAAATTCTAGTGGGGGCTTTTGAGTGGGGGAAAAATGGGAGAAGGAAAGATTTCTAAGCATATTTCTGGGTTTCCACCTCTCTCTCTCTCTCTCTCTCTCTCTCTCACACACACACACACACACACACACACACACACACACAAGATGGGACTCTAATGTAGCATTGCAAAATTGCCACTTCAGAATATTTCTTTTTCACTTTCACTTACCATAATGAATCCATATGGTATTTGCAGAATGAGCTGTCTGCTATTTTAAGATTTGGAGCTGAAGAACTTTTTAAGGAAGAGAAAAATGATGAAGAAAGCAAGAAAGGACTCTTAAGTATGGATATTGATGAGATTCTTGAAAGAGCGGAAAAAGTTGAAGAGAAGGAAGCTGAAGAGGACGGGAATGAATTGTTGAGTGCTTTTAAGGCAAGTTTTTGCCATGTTTGTTAGGGCTGTACATTGGTTGTCTTGGCCCCTTCTGTAGATTTTTTATTTTTGTTTTGTTTTTACACAAGTGCCACTTATGCCCTAAAATCAACAGTGCTGTCTTTTTGCTCCAGTTGGTGTAAGGATGGTGATGGATGCTGCTGTACAGTTGCTACTGCTTTCATGTTGAAATTATATTCATTTGTGTTTTTTTAATACACGTACTCTTTGGTGCATATATGTCCAGGTTGCAAATTTTGGTACCGCTGAAGATGATGGTAGTTTTTGGAGCCGTTGGATAAAGCCGGAAGCAGTATCCCAAGCCGAAGTATGAATCTTTTCTCATACTCATATTATTGTCTCTATATTCTTGTGTTGCATTTCCTTTAGTTAGATAAAAGGATTAAATTGACATTTCCTTTTAGGAAGCTCTTGCCCCTCGTACTAAAAGGAATACCAAGAGCTATGCAGAAGTTGCACAGCCTGATAGAAGTAATAAAAGGAAAAAGAAAGAATCTGAGCCTCAGGAAAGAGTCCAGAAAAGGCGCAAAGCAGATTATTTAGTTAGCTCAGCACCAATGATTGACGGAGCATCTGCTCAAGCAAGGGGATGGTCATCTGGGAATTATCTAAGAGAGATGCATTGCGGTTTTCCCGTGCGGTAAGTTCTTATTTGTTTCAGATTTCTGCATAGCTTGATTTAGTCATCACCTTGCTATAATCTCCTAAAATGCTTGTATTTCTCTCCTTAAAAAACCACCCATTACCTCATATTGTGAGCATACCTTATCAGTTTTGATTTAGCTTGTTTCAAGAAAGCTCATAATATTTCTACATGTGTAGCATCCAAATATTTATATTATGGAAAAGGCACCCATTATTTTTTTAAATACACACATGATAAAACAAAAGATTTGAGCCATTCAAATTGGATTCCCATCAATTTCTCTCTCCCTGAAAGTCCGCATGAAAGCTTTTTTTTCCTAGAATAGCATTTCTGATGCACCACAGCTTTCATTAGTCATAGGACTCATATGTGTAAAGCTTTTCTCCCCCTGTTTTGCTAATACAGATCTGTTCAGTTTACAGATTAGGCATGGCGTCTTTGCTTCTCTTGTATTAATTGTTCCTTTCTCTTGTCTTTATTCGTTTATTTTGTTTTTATTTTTTTTATATATTCCTAAAACCTAACTGACCCAACCTGGACATAGTTTTTAGCTGATATTCTCAATATTTGAAGAGATTAGATGCGAGGTCATGGGTGCAGACGCAGAAACTGGCTGAAGTTTTCCTGTTTTGGGTTTACATTGTAGACTAGGTCTAATAGAAGATACCATTTGTTTCAAATTTAATCACCCATCAGAGATGGTGTTTCTTATGGTTTATTCTCTGGATTTTCCCTAAATATTGGAAGTTCTAAATTAATTATTTGCAAGATGTTTGGTCAAAGTTAAGACATCCCAATTTTTGAAAAGCTTCTGGCACCAGCTTGTTCTGAATGTTTGTTTTCTTAGGAAATTTTATGCTTCATTGTCTAACACTGTTCATTTGCAATTAGGTTATGAAATTTGGGATGAGAGCCAAATTGCCTTAATAGTTGAGGAGGTCGGAGGTGCAGTTGCAGGAGCTTCACTGAATCACAGGTTGAGCTTTCGATGCATTGATTGATGGCTGCAAAGAAGCAGTGGAAGTGGGGAGTTTGGACCAGAAGGTTGTCTTAGAATATGTCTATTCATCCATGTTGTTTCTTGAATGCTGTTTCTTATGTAAATTTATTTCGTTGTGAGTGACAACTTGTTGGATGCTGAACGTTAGAAACTTGTGGTACTTTTAGGGGCCCTTGCGGATTTTTTTGGTGTCCCTGTCAAGGCTGTTGATATGCTCAACCGTGTTCATGAACTTCAGCACCTGGCAAAACGCATTAGTCGATATGAGGATCCCATTGACCAGTTCCGTGTGTTGACATACCTCAAACCTTCAAATTGGTCGAAAGGTTGTGGCTGGAATCAGTGTATGTATTACTTCTTTGCTTATGTTATTTTTCATCTCTCCTCCACTGGAAGACAAAGCACGTGATTTTGTTCCTTTTTGCTGATATTTTCCTTCTTGATAGTTGATGATGCAAGATTGCTTCTTGGAATATACTACCATGGATTTGGAAATTGGGAAAAGATACGATTAGATGAAAGGCTTGGTCTTATAAAGAAAATTGCTCCCGTGGAACTTCAACACCATGAAACATTTTACCCCGCGCTCCAAATTTGAGAGATCGTGCCAACGCTCTTCTCGAAATGGTATGCAATCACATATGATCTAACTTTTTTTGGGGGGAAAGCACTGTATCTCTATGATATGCTTAGTTTAGGATTATGCTGGATTGATAAAGAGAAAAAAAAAAAAAAAAAAAAAAAAAAAAACAATCGAGCCACATTTCTCATTTAGTTTGAGAGAATTTTTTTATTGGTTAAAACTTTTCATCCATCCATCCCGCTCGACACTAGTTAATACTGAAATGAAGGCAATGATAATGCTACCCCTGAAAGTTGGGGCGGGAGAAGAGTTTTAATTTGGTTCAGATGAGGAAGAGAAAAAATTGGAAATTATGCTGAGTACGAAAATATGATTATATTATTTTTTCAGTTTTCAAGATTGTCTGGACTCTCGGATCTCATTGGTTTGATGTTGGTGTGAAATTTATTGTAAACCGTATGAATAGACTGAAATGATTGTTGATATAAGAAATTGTTGTGAATTTATGTGTCAAACTTATGCTAGGTCTAACATTAGTCTTCCATGTTTAAGCTGATTCGTCCTGATACTTTTGGTCATTGTAATTGGTTCATTTGCCTGTGCATGACTGTGTGAGTGCCTTGTAGTCCATTCTGAAGGAGATTGAGGCACTTGAATAATTTTGGTAAACTATTTTGTATTACTTACATGATTGATGAAGATGACATCTGTAAACAGGAAACTGCAGTTTATGGGGGAAAGAATGCAAATGCTAAAGTGGTCGAAAGGCTTCTAAGGAGAGGGAGAATCCTCTCATTGTTCTTTAGCTCACAGGGGCATCAAGAAAGGAAAAGCTGGTTCTTCTAGACTCAATATCGAAATGAACAAGAACAGACCTTTGAAACCCCAGAAAGTTGAACCTTTAGTGAAAGAGGAGGGTGAAATGTCAGATGATGAAGAAGTGTATGAGAAGTTTAAGGAGGAGAAATGGATGGAATGGTGCGAAGAGATGATGGCTGCTCAATTAAGACATTGAATCGTCTTGAACGGTTGCAGACGATTAGTGCCAATCTTCCAAAGGATACGGTACATCATAGTCTTGCTTTTTCATTTGTCTTTGTCACATTTATTTGTTAAATCATCCGTTTGATGCTGGTACTGTTAATTCACACATTTGTCTTTCAGGTGCTTGCGAAAGTTAAAAATTATTTAAAGCTTCTTGGACGAAGGATAGACCGAATTGTTTTAGATAACGAGGAGGAACCGCATGGACAAGATAGTATGTACTTTGTCCTGTATGATTTATTTTTCTCATTCCTGATTGCTTTTCTATCTACTGTTGCCATCTCTCTCTCATGTAAATTTAAAAAAAAATAATTTTTAAACACCCACTTTAGACAAGCTCGGGGATGGTATATGTATGGAATTCAATTCCGTGCCTTGGATTTTGTTGATTTTTAAGTTCAGTTGAGTAATATCTTAACAGAATAATCAGCTGACTCTACATTTGACAAGCTCTAGGACTGCTTATGTAACAAATTCCTTTTTCCTTTTCATGGTATGTGTTTTAAGTTATTAACATAGTGGTCATTTACAGAGATGACAAAGCGCTTGTGGAACTATGTTTCTACCTTTTCAAACCTGTCTGGGGAGAGACTTCAAGACATTTATTCGAAACTTATACTGCAGCAGGATGAGGAGGTTGGGCCTTCCCACATCAATGGCTCTGCATCTGGTCCCTTTGGCAGAGACAGTGACCCTACTCCATTTTCCCGTCATGTGGACAGGCAAAGAGGGTACAAAAATGTGACCAACTATCAATCTTTTGAACTTCAGAAGGGTCATGATACAGCTAAATCTGAAGCATGGAACGAAGGAGGAGAGGAGAAACTGATAGTAATTTACCAGTTCAGGCCTCATCTCAAAGAATTATCAGCAATGGTACTCGGTAACTGATCCAAGCTCACTAGGGATTCTTGGTGCAGGACCACCTGAAAATAAACGCGTTGTCAATGAAAGGCCTTATAGGATGCGACAGGCAGGTTTAGCCCAAAAACAAGGTTTTACAGGTATCAAGTAGTGTTGCATACAATAGGAAAGCAGCTGGTTAAAAAGTGAAGGCGACTGGCTCTCACCTGGGAGCACTTACGACTTCAGCCTATATATATTCTCTGGAATTTTTTTTTGTCAACCATGGGAATAAGTTCTTGGAGATCCTACTTGGGTTTCTGGGACGATCGGAACAGGTCCACAAAATGGGATTTGCATCATTGAACAAGATGCAAGGATTGCCTGTCGTCTGCAAGGCTTGTGGAATTTTGCTGCCATATTTTTTTATCTTTCGTTTTCTGAAGATGAGTTCGGTTGGTATTATGTTCACGTATATAGAGCAATTCAGTGAAAAAGTTTTCTACTCATCTGATATATACATACAGAAGGAGAATGTATTACGCCTTCAGAAAGTGTACATTATCAATTTTGAAATAGTTGGTGGTATTTTCTCTCCCAAGTTTTGGAGATTTTTAATTGAATTGTTGATAAGTTAATACTTTCCAATATCCATATTTATCTTTCATTGGTTATATAGCAAGAATAGATTAAAAATTCTGCCGAAGAACCATATACTGTTTATTTTATTATTTATGGTTTAGGTTACTCTTTTTATTGCGAAATCTTGATCTATGCTAATGTTATCGCATTTTCTCTACCTCACACTACTCGGCTAACTGCAATAGTTTGCGGTTTCTTTTATTTGTTGTTTTAGGGCTAATTCCCATAGTTACCATTTCTTCTATTTGTCATTTAACGAAATGATACGATGTCGTTTCGGTCAGTTAGGACATTTTCTGGAGCAAAAACCCCTAGCTCCTTCCAAGTCAGTAAAGATTTGGTACGCTTGTTTGATAATGACCTTGTATCGGCATGGATATGAAACTCATCGGCCAGAAAAAATAAAGATGGGGCAAAACAAAAACTAAGAATAAGTGATGATCGTTGTTATATTTTTCATTGCATTTTAATGGGGGGCCTCCTATTAATTCGGCTACAAATCACACGATGCTGCTGATATCTCATTTTGCCATTTAGGAAACATAAATGTTCAACTTATGAAATGGTCTAGAACATGAATGAAGCCTCTCATACTATATATTTCATGCTCGAGAAATACTGGGGAGACTAGATTCATAAACCACTTCGTGTACCGCCTCTCTGATAAAGTTACTAGAATTACTCTCCTCGCCTCGTGTAGAATGAAAATAATAAAAAAGAAGTGGCCCCACAAGTTTTCACAGACATCATTTGGAAAAAAACAAAGTTAGGAAAAAACATAGAGAATAAAAACAACATCAAAAGCCCTATGTGGTCTTGGTTCCTACAAAATAGGTGGCGGGCAGCCCTTTATCACGTTATCTTTCACATTCTTTTCTCAACCTCAGGCTTCTAAATTTCGTGAATTATTAATTTTGGATAAATTCTTATATCGGAAACCATTTTTTCTATTTTCAACTAATTTCATATCCATACATTTTTCAAGTGTTTCGTGTGATTTCATGGACGACACTTACATTATCCTAATTTGTTCGGTTTACATTATTTTCTTTTTCCATTTTTCAAGTCTTGCTCGTTTAAAGATTAAGCAAAAATCTCCATTAGTAAAGAAAGGTATACATCCACATCATTAATATTATTATTTTTAACTGTCTGAAATTAGAGGGGAAAAAAAGAGCATTCAATTTAGAATTTTAAAAGTAAAGAATCGTTAGTTCAAATGTTTAAGAGTATTTTTTCCTGCTTCAGATATCTTATGTTCAATTCGCCCTTTCCTCTGTATAAAAAGCAAAAAGCCCCAAAATTTTAAATTGGAAATCCAATGCAGCCAACAAAAAGGCTATCATTCGCCCTGCGCGTACTCTTATCTGCCACGTTTGAGAAAAGGTGGGGCCCTCTTCCTATGAGGTTGGTTGGCTCTCCCGCGTTCCTATTATAGAAATATATACTCACTTTGGCATTGCTCTCTGTGTCCTCAAATAAAATTCTAAGCTTGCAGAGCAGCAGGCACTTCTCTGCTCAGCACAATATTATCTTCCAGGGTAATCTCATAACTTAATGGCTGCTCTGCTCTTCTTCACTCCTTCTCTTTTGGTTGATTAACTATTGATATATCTATCCATCCATCCATTTGTCTACACGTATTGGTCTTTCTCTGATTGTTTCTGGGTTGAGCTCAACCTTTGCCATAACCCCATCTGTTGCTTAATTTCTGCTTGCAATTTTGTTATGATGGTTCTACCTCTATCCCTTTTGTCTTCATGGAATGGAAGATAGTTGTATTTGTTTTCGTTTTTCGAACGCGATGCAAATTTTAATTTGTGTATCTGTTGTTGTTTGACTGGAATTTTCCATTAGCTTTTCATCATGTTCTGATTTCCAATCTTGTTTTATCATTTATGTGAAGGGTGTTTCTAGTTCAGTTTGAGTTTGGTTCAAATAGAATTTAATTCGATTGTTGTTTTTCTACAATAAACAAATAATACAGCTATCTAAATCCGTACAAGTATTATGTGTATGTATTTATGTATGTATAATAAATAAAACACACACACATACAGCTGTACATAAAGATGGGATGTCCTGTTGCAAGGGGCTTGTAGCTCAAGTGGTTAAAAATATTTACCCGTCCTAAGTTCAATTCCTCCTTCTCCAATATCGCTTGTATAAAAAAAAAGAAAAAAAAAGATGAGACTTCCTGTCTTTAAGAAAGATGAGAATAACTTATGCACCATATATGTATATCTACGTATACCTCCTGCAAATTCATGGAACTGGCCATGAACACTTGCTTCCTTTTTCTTAACCCTTCGCTGAAAATGTTTGTCTAAACGAGGTGCTATCAAGACTCAAGAGGTTCCTTCCTTATATAAATAAACCTCTCTGGCTGGGTGGTTTAATACGAATTTGTAGTGTTTTTTTTTAAAATCTCTCTGCCCTTTTGTGCCACCTCTTATTGTAGGTTCAACATCAGTGCTACTTTTACTAAAGTAGTAGAGAAAATGAAGCCACAAAGGTTATTAGTCGTAGTTTCTTTTTTAGGCCAGAGGGTTGTCCCTTGGAACAGAGGAAGCTCATGCTACTTTTACTGAAATAGTAGAGAAAATTAAGGAAAATCAAGGCTTATATTTACGACTGCAGAAAATAAATGCAAGTATTAACTTTCTCTGCTATTTTTCTTCTTTATCCATATTTACCACTCATACTAGTTCTTAACCTTGTCAGTCTCAATTATTTTCCTAAGGCTCAACAGACTAAGTCTCCTCAGTCCTTAGTCCAATTTTAGTCTCATTATTAACCCTTGGTTCATTCTGCAAAGCTAAGACGAGTATGTGGTACCACGAAGCACTGGTATTAAAATTGAGTTTGTGTATTTTGAGACTACAGAAAATGCACTGTATCTATATTGTATGTATGGCCAAATAGTCACATAGTATGGATGTGTGTGTGTGTGTGTTTGTGTGTGTGTTTGTGTGAAAGCATACATTTCTCCTCTAGCTATGGTTAACTTCTTTTCATGGGCCTGAGGCTTAGTTCACACCAGGAACCTGCAGAACATTTATAATATATATTTTTTTTCTGTCTGGCCGAGGTTAACTTGTTTCAAGGGGTGGTTTTGCAGCTGAAGGCCTGTTCAATCTGTGAACCTTCAAGGAGTGAAAAATGGACTACGTTTATGGACCCGGAAGGAACCATCTCTTTGTTCCAGGCCCTGTCAATATTCCGGAGCCAGTCCTTCGGGCTATGAACAGAAACAATGAGGATTATCGTTCTCCTGCTGTTCCAGCAATGACAAAAATTCTGCTGGAGGATGTGAAGAAGATTTTCAAGACTACAACTGGAACTACATTTATGATCCCTACCACAGGTATCTCAATAACCAGATGGTTGTTGCTTTTAACTTATTTATTTATTTATTTTAGTTTCTAATTTGTCAGGTTAGCTGATTTTGATCACATCTTATGGATGCATATGTGAAGGTTCCTTTTTAAGATTTAGTGATGCTGCTAAGAAAAAGTTGTTTCTAATGTTTGAATATTATACACCGATTTGAAAACTAGAAGTTTTTTATGTTCAAAACTAGGTGAACTCAGTGTGACTGGCTGAGTTTAATAACGTTGCTCTATCATTGTTTAGGTACTGGTGCTTGGGAGAGTGCACTTACAAATACATTATCTCCTGGAGACCGGATTGTATCTTTCCTGATTGGCCAATTCAGTTTGCTATGGATTGATCAGCAGCAGCGCCTTAATTTCAAGGTGGATGTTGTAGAAAGTGAATGGGGCCAAGGTGCCAACCTTGACATTCTGGCATCAAAACTTGCAGAAGATACTGCGCACACTATAAAAGCAATATGCATTGTTCACAATGAAACCGCCACTGGAGTTACTAATAACTTAGCTCAAGTGAGAAGAATACTTGGTAAGCATATCTTTCGCTAGAGCGTAGATATGGCTGAGTTAGCTTTATTTTTCTATTCGTTATCTGCTTTTGTACGTGTTTCGTCATAAGTTCTAAAATAGTTTATCAACAGCCACTTATATGGAAGCTCCTGAATCAAATGCATATGTATGTGGCTGTCTATTATTTATCCGTTACGTCTTTGTTTATACATACTTTCATTTGTAGTTAATTTCTTGGCTACAAGCTCTTCGAAGATATACTATACTACATCTATGCAGTAAATAATAAATCACACACATTATGCTGAACTGTGGATTTTCTCTTGAATATGAGTCATGGCGGTATCCATGGCAGAGCTGTAGAGTACTTCAGTTCCCAATAACATATATCCAAGCCTTTCTTTAGTTGTTGCATAACCAGATCAATTTCCTAGTACCAAATTATAGCTTTCCTAGTACCCTGGTTACTTGCTAGTGTTTAAATTTGACTTGCCAAAAGTAGACATCAATAAATTTTGTCATCTTTTTTCCTTTCACTCTGAGTTTTTCATTTTATCTTCTTCTCAAGTTTGTTACTTTCCATTTAAGTTACCTTTATAAGTCGTTCTCATGGTATTTTATTAATCTCTCAGATGAGTACAGGCATCCAGCTCTCTTTCTTGTTGATGGAGTGTCTTCCATATGTGCTCTTGACTTCCGTATGGATGAATGGGGAGTAGATGTAGCTTTAACTGGTTCTCAGAAAGCTCTTTCTCTCCCCACTGGCATTGGGATTGTGTGTGCAAGCCCAAAAGCTCTAGAGGCATCTAGAACTGCAAAGTCAGTAAGAGTATTCTTCGACTGGAATGATTACTTGAAGTTCTATAAGTTGGGAACATACTGGCCATATACCCCTTCCATCCAGTTGCTATATGGACTGCGCACAGCACTTGATCTTATTTTTGAGGAAGGACTTGACAACGTGATTGCAAGACACAGCCGTTTGGGAAAAGCAACAAGGTAGAAATTTGTTTTCCTGGTGTCCATATTGATCTCTGGATTTCATGTAGCTCAAAATTCAAAAACTAATTACAGGGATTGCTATTCGTGTCCCAATTTCGTGTGTTTACTTGTATTAAGCAATATATATTTGAACATTGCCTTCAACTTCCAACTGCAGGCTTGCTGTGGAGGCATGGGGCTTGAAGAACTGCACCCAAAGTGAGGAATGGTTCAGTGACACAGTAACAGCTGTGCTTGTTCCTCCATACATTGACAGTACAGAAATTGTGAGAAGGGCATGGAAAAGATACAATTTGAGCTTAGGCCTAGGCCTAAACAAAATAGCTGGCAAGGTTTTCAGAATAGGGCATCTTGGCCATCTGAATGAGGTAATGTCATTTTCAATTATTCAAATCTTACATATTCCAAGCATGATTAGAAATTGGTTGGAACTTGGAAATAGAAAAGGAAATGGATTGATCTTTTTGGCTTAACTGGATAAAGCCTTTTCACCCTCCCTCTCTCCAACACGATGAGTACTGGTATGGGAGAATACATCTTTTTGGCTTAAATATACATTCTTTCACTGAGGATTATAAATAGCACCGAATTCTCTACTTATCCCCAAAGTTCTGCTGTGATGGCAAGAGAAACATCTTCTATAAATTTTACTGGTTCGATCTCATATTGTTTTTTTTTCGTTGCTGAAAAGAGAATGGGGTGAAAGTGTGGTCTAACATGTGAACATCACTGGGGAAGTTTGCATGTAAAATGAATCTGATACAGCACCACCCATTCATTGTAATCTTCTCACTTTTTGCTATTTAAATTTTCTTCTGTTTCCAGTTGCAATTGTTGGGTTGTCTTGCTGGTGTCGAGATGGTACTTAGGGACGTGGGCTACCCTGTTAAGCTAGGAAGCGGAGTTGCAGCTGCTAGTGCATACTTTCAGAACAACACCCCTCTGATCCCTTCCAGGATTTGATTTTCCATCATTGTAATTTATTTTCCTCTATGCTTTGCTTCAGGATGTACTGTAAATAACGCGTATTTGTTCCTCTCCTTGCACTCTCTTGAGGCTATCCAAATTCCCTAGTTAATACATGGTCTTTTGGATGTTCCTATATCTGAAATAATGCGAGTAGAATCTATTGCTTGCTCGTTTTATTCCAATTTTTCTTGGTCGTGAAGTGTGTGCGATTAGTACTCTCTGAAAATCAAATTTTTGCTATTAGGTTTAGGTTAGAAAAATGAAACAAGTTTTTTGTAGCGGCTGATGAATATCATGAAAATTTTCTGTTAACATAAACATGACTCTGTTAATGCTTGCACAAACACGACTTCCTTAGGAACATGACTTTGTTGAAAACTTTTCAGCAGTACTGTGATGGGAATTGTTAGTAAATTTCTGCGATTGTTGATAACATGAAGTAGGAGAGAAGTCGCTGAGCATCAGTCCTTTCTCAAACTTCTTAGTGCCCGTTTGGCATTGCTTATTTGGGTTGATAAGTGATTTTTTAAAATTTTTGGGAAGCCCAGCCTGTTTGGTAAACTATGAGAAAATCACTTATTGTTAAAATTTGCTGTGAGAGAAAGCTACAAGGGAAAGCAGCTAATGAGGTGCTTTCATTTTCTGATTATGCAGGAATCAGTTTCGAAGAGGCGCTAGGTTTAATGATTATGCGGGAATCATTTTCTGATTATGCGGGAATTAGTACCAACAACACTTATAACAAAAAATTTACCAAACACCAAACTGCTTTCTCTTACAGCAAATCTTACAGTGATTATTTTTATAGCACAACAATGCCAAACTGGCCCTAGTGCACCCATTTTCACTGGTATCTCTTCAATTTTAGTCTGAGAAACATCAAGATGACACAAAAGTTAATCAATTAATCAATTTTCTCATGTCTGCAGGCAATTCAGTGAGAGATGAACAATTTGACAATAGTAACGTTTGAAGATTATAGAGAGTGCAACCTATAGTAGTTAGCCTTTTGATTTCAGTCCAAGAGAGATTCAAGTAACGCAAGTGAATGAGATTACCAATAGAGCTAGGTAACTCATAAATGTTGCCATATAGTGACAATGCTAGCACACGCAAAGATGGCAATAAATCATGTAAAACACTTGTAATTACATATATATATATATATATATATATATATTTAAATGCTGATTTTTTCTTAAAGCTAGGAAGGTTCGCAAATGCTTAATCTGATATAATGACTTAAATTTTGCAGCGCAATCAAATTGTCCTCTATCATACATCTCTTTCCAAAACTGCATGTGATTTGCTCCCTTCCAACATTACACAATATTTGGCAGACACGGATATAGCCAAGTCATTAATGAGAACTAGCATGTGCCAATTAGTTATCTTTTTTATTTTTTATTTATGTTTAGTATTAAGAAAAGATAACATGGGTAGTTATGTTCCATAAAAGTAAGACTTATTATTTTTTTTTTTTTTTTTTTTTTTTTTTTTTTTTTTTTATATTTCAAAAAATGTGAATTTGCCATATTACCCTCATTTAATTAATAATTTCAATTCTTAATGTTTGAATTAACTAAGGGCATTTTTTGGTATTTTGAATGTTTCACCATTCTCTGCCTTTTGCTTTATATATATAGATGATGTTATATTTCTATTTAGATAGGTGCACTAGATATTAAGTTATATCATGTTTTGATAAGAGTTTAAATTAGGTTATACCTTGAGGCTCAAAACCTTGTGAAATAAGGAAAATTTTGAAGCCAATTAAAGGGGTCCTATTTATTTCCTTTTGAGTGAACCGTTGCTTGATGGGCTGAGTGTTAGTTAAGTCAGCCATTGATGATGAGTAGAAATGACTTGACCTAGCCCTATATAAGCTTAGGACCTTGCTCTCGTCAGATAGGTTCTCTAAACCTAATCTCATCATAAAGAGAGAGCTGAAACAGTTTTTGAGAGAGAGCAGAAGTCTTGAGCCGTTTGTGTCTTTTTCCGGAGTTGCTGCTACTGAGATTGAATGAGTTCTGAGATCGTGTACTCAAGGAAGATGGTGCCAGGTATGTCTTCTATGTATTTCAGGTTGTGTGAAAGATCGTGAACACTTAAATAGAAAATCTAAAAATTGAAACATGATTTACTACTTGATTTTTGAAATAATGATGGTAATTAATCAAAGTATTTTGTATTGATCTCTTCCATTGTTTTCTAAATCCCAACTTCAGGAATTAAACTTTTTGCTGCCCAAAGTAGAAACATAGCTTCCTTGTTGAACTCATAGCCCTTCAGCAAAATTGCACAATAAGTAAAGCATTGTTTCAAATGAGTTGGGAGATAATGGTAACTCAATCTTAGAGCTGGAATAATATTACATTTGGCATCGGGTAGCTCCCAAATATTGTTGTTCAATATGCCATTCCATTCCTCATAATTTGTGTTGAAACGTAAGAGATCTCCAAGTGTTTTTGCAGCTAAAGGCAAACCGTTGCTCTTATGAGCAATTTTCTTACCAAGTTCTTCTAGGTTTGGATTTGCACTGAAGTTCCCACTTGGAAATGCATGTTTTGAAAGTAACAGCCAATAGTCCCCATCAGATAGTTATTCCAAATATTGAATAGGAACAGTGCACATGACATATGCAACAGTTGTGTTACGTGTTATCACGATAACCATACTTCCCCTTGCCCTGAAAGCAAAAGGACTTTGTAGGAGATTCCAATCATGGTAGGTAATTGTCATTCCAAAGGTCATCCAAGACAAAATAAAATGTCTTCCCCTTTACTCGTTCTCTTAGTTCAATTTGAAGAAATTTCAGGTCTCTATTATCGTAATCCTTTGAACTGATTTACTCGAGAAGGGTTTTAGTTACCCTAGTAACATCTTAGTCTTCTGAAACATAAGCCCAAGTTGAAAGATTAAAATGATTTTTCACTTTGTCATCATTATAAAGGAGCTGAGCAAGAGTAGTCTTGCAAACCCAGCCCATCCCAACTATAGTGATGACAGAGACATCGGTGTTGATCCCATCATCAGATAATAGTAGTTTCATTAGCTTTTACACAAGATTCCTGAACCAAGGAAGTTGTTGGAGTCCTTTTAGAAACCTTTCCCCCAACAACTTCTCTTAAACCAAGGACATCTTTTGTTTTGCAAGGTGTTCAAGTCTTCCTAACAGGTCGTCTATCCTACCATTCATGCCTTGATAAAAAGATTAAGAGAAGTAGAGAGGAAGTTCCACACCTGGGTTTGACAGTTCAGTTTTCATCAGCTTCTACCTTGCATCCCAAAGCTTTAGTCTTGATCTCATCCAATAGGTCCTCTGCATCGAAGACAGCATCTTGAAGCTCATCAAGTTTCTTTCCACCGAAATAGTCCATGAATTCACGCGAACCAATGTTGTTGCACAACATTTGCACATAAGCAGAGAGAAAAGCCTCTCAAACCAAAGCTTCACCCATTTTTTGCTTTGTTGACACTTTTGTCTATGCTCGTAAATGGATGGGGTCAACAAACTCAACTCATTACAGTGATGGAACTGTTGTATATGAAACGCGCAAATAAGGCAAGACATTATGCTTTCATGCTAAGCAATGACTGTTACTTTCCCTTTGAGTTATAATCACCACAGACAACTATAGTCTTTGTTGATGCTCTTTTTGGGAGGGTCAACTTGGAGAAGAGTAGGATCTTCAGCAGGGAAGAAGGTGAGGACCTTCGGAGTTGGAGGAACCTGCAAAAGACAAGGAGGAAGAAGCAGTCGTCAAGCTTCAGACACCGGTGTGGTGCCTACCAAAGGCTCTCCGATACTTAAGTCAGCTATATGTGGTAATTTTGGCAGAGTAACAGTAAATGTGAGAAAATAGTTACCCTTTTTACTCTGGTACTGTTCCCTATTTATATGGAGGTGAAAATGAGAGTTTTGCACAAAGTTTCGATGTGGGACTTTGTGCAAGTTGCTGTGGTGGTGACATGTGTCCTTGGAGATTAGGTTCGGCAGTCGGGAGCTTCAGTAGGTTTTTACTGCTTTGAAAGAGTGTCTTCCTTCGGCAGGGAAGAAGGTGATGACGTCAGTCACTTTCTAGGGATTTGTCTGTGTGTCCCTTTGGGGTATTTGAACAAGGGAGAAGGCGTTTCTGCCTTGCTGCTAGCCGTTTTGATGCTGGATATGCTCGGTTGATTATGGTGTAAATAATAGTCTCCTAAATTTGAGGTCAAGAAGTAACTTCTGGGTTAGGAACTTGTGAAATTTTTGTATAATCATGACCGAGAATTCCTAATTCAGTGGGAGCCGTAAGGCATTCCCTAGTCCCCCAAGTTGGCAAGCTAGAAGTTGCGGCAACCCTTGGAAGGTATGGTAAAAGCTGTGTGAGCCTCTAGAACCGTTGGTAGCTAGGTACTTGGGCGTTCGGTAGGGAGTAGCTGGGTGATCCCTTGGGTTTACGATATGAGCCTTGCCGTTCGGCAAGGGTTTGGTTTTGGGTTTGTGCCAAGTGAAAACTTGGTTTAGGCTGTGTAAAACCCTTCGACAAGTTATTTTTGAGAGAAAAAGTAGACTTAGGCCCCTCAAGCTTCGACATGGGAGTGGATCTGGGCCCTTGAAGCTTCGACAAGTCGGTGATTTTGCGAACCCTCCATTCCTTATACACAGCCCTTGTCGTTCGGCAAGGCTGTTTCTTGTTGTTTTTTCTTTTTGGTACGCGCCTTGGGCCCTAATAGCTTTGGCCCAATGCTTGTCGTTTGGCAAGCAGGCCAGGATTCTTCGGTGACCAGTTTGGGCTTGTCCTTCGGCAAGAAGGTAAGCACATTGGGTGTCTCAAAAGGTTCGGTAGGGATTGGCTTTTGGAATCTGTATAAGCATTTGGCAGTGGTTTGTTTTAGCATGGGTTTGCAAAAATAGAAAATTTTCTTCTTCTACGGCAACATTGTCCCTATCGAACGGCAGGGTTGATTTGGGAAAAATCTTGAAGCCTCCTTGCACCTTCCGAAACTAGAGAAACCCACCTGGTTTCGGCAAGAGAGTGGAGTGCTACCCGGAGTCCTTGCAAAGCACAATCCGTCTTCAGCATGACCCTTGCCGTTCGAAAAAGGGTAATTGGAATAGAATTTCGGGAAGTCTCACGTCAGCAGAACGTGCTAGTCGTTTGGCAACTCGAGCCCTTCGATTCGTCCCCACAGGTTTGTGAAACCTCTGTTTTTGTGTTGTCGGCACCGTTGGTAAATGAGAAAAATTTCGAGGTCGGCGAATCACGAGTCCCCACATTCGGCAAGTTTGGCTGCTGGTGATTTGTGTGCCCAGAAAAGGCTTTGGCAGGTGGTATTGGAGCTGGTGTTTTAGTTCAAGTGGGCTTGGAGCTGGGCCCTCAAAATTCGACAGGTTGGCTTGGGCAAGGTGAGAATTTCATGACCCTTCTCCTGCTTCTTCATGGGCTTTGCCGTTCGACAAGGCTGATGTTCTGAGGATTTTGGGCTGGGCCTTTAGAGCTGAGGGGCATGGGTCGGGCTTAGTTTTGGACAAGGGAGATTGGTAAGACACCCCCCCCAGGTTTCATCTCCACGGGCCTTGAATTTGAAATTTGAAAATTTGTGGAGTAGGTGTATGAAATTTGAGAGGGAAGGTGAAATGGAGCTAGGGTTTTTGCGTGAATCGAGGCATCGGTACCTTTGAGTCTTTATAAATAGGAACTTGGGGTGAAGACGGTAACATACTTGAGTCTTTGAGAAAAATTTCTAGAGAGTGAGAAGGAGATAAGGAGATTTCCAGTGTGAAACTTTGTAGTGGTGCTGTGGCCAAGGTGATTTTCGAGGTCCTTTCCGTGGTGGTGCAAACAAGGTTAGACCTCATTTCACTTGAATGTTTGAATTGAAATGTCCTTTTTGGCATGAACATGTTGAATATTGTGATGAACATCTTGAACATCTCATTGGCAAGCCGAAGGCTAGCTAAGAGTGCTTCGTATTCGGCCACATTGTTGGAGGCATGGAATTGAAAGCGGAGGGCGTACTCAATAATGACTTTATCTGGGGAGATAAGAACGAGGCCAGCCCCTCATCCCTGGGCGTTGGAGGAGCCATCCATATATAAGGTCTACAAGAGCTGGGTTAGGTCAAGGGTGCCGTTGCTGTCGACGTGGACCAGGTTCGAGGGAAGAGTGGGTTCATTAATGATTTGGGGAACAGTCAAAGCTTGGGGTTTTGTAAATTCGAAGATGAAGTCGGCAATTGCCTGTCCCTTTGTAGCCAGGCGGGGTTTATAGTGAATATCAAATTCACCAAGTTCAATGGTCCACTTGACCAGTCTGCCAGAAGTCTCTGGCTTCTGCAATACCTGCCTTAGCGGTTGGTTGGTTAGGGCATGGACGGTATGCGCTTGGAAGTATGGTACGAGGCGTCTAGCCGAAACTACTAGGGTGAAAGCCAGTTTCTCGATATCAGGGTACCGAGCCTCGGCATCCTGCAATGCCTTGCTAACGTTGTGCACCGGTGTTCGGCACCCTCATGTGGGCGGATAAGCACCGAGCTGACTGCTGTGGTCGAGATGGAGAAGTAGATGGTGAAGATGTCTCCAGGTTCGGGGGTTGACAATAAAGGGGCTCGACTCATATATTCTTTGAGCTCACTAAAAGCCTTGTCACATTCTGCAGTCCAGGTGATGTTTCGCTTGTTGCCCTTAAGCGCCTTGAAGAAGGGGCCGCAGGGATCAGTAGCCTTGGAGATAAACCTGGTAAGGGCCGCGACGCATCTGGTAAGGCTCTAGATGTCTTTGACCGTCTTCGGTACCTTCATGTCCAAGATGACCTGAATTTTTTCTAGATTAGCTTCAATACCCCGCTGGCAAATCATGAAGCCAAGGAACTTGCTTGAAGCCACCTCGAAGGCGCACTTTGGAGACGAAGACGAGGAAGATGATGAGATTTAGACACGCCGCTTTTAGGAACTGAGAGGAAAATTGAGAGGAAACTTATATATTTAATCGGTTAGAGAGAACATAAAAATTTAGGTCAGGTGACGAAAAAGTTTATAAACAATCACAAAGTTCAATAACATGACGGTTTTGTTAAAAACCACCCTAGTATGTCGTTAAAATGACGCAAAAATAGTAGAAACAGACGTGGTTAATAATAAAGCCAAATGAATTTTAGAATTCTAAAACCGATGTGGTTATTTATAGTTTTACACGAGAAAAGTTTACTTTTGATGACTTGATATTATAAATTAATACATCGCTTGTTTATAGCAAACCGACGTGGTTGATAATAAAGTCAAGCAACTTTTAGTATGATGGAACCGACATGGTTATTAGAATTTTACACGACAAAAGTTTACATTCTCTAAAGTGGTATATATGTTAATACTGCGCTATTTACGAAAAAACCGCCGTGGTTAGTGTGAACAACATCGCGCTCTTTATGAATAAACCCCTGGATGTAAAGATAAATTGAGGCTTTTCTTCACTTTTACTTTTCTGAAGGTACATATTTGAGTGAGAGGCAATAATTTGAAAGTTGATGTGTTTGTGTCTCTCTCACCTCTCTAAAGGTCCAACATATTGATGACACAAAGCATCATCTACTTCCAAAATATTGTCTTTCTCATGTTGGTGGTTCGATTGTGATGAGGAACGTAGCTTCCACTAGTAAGATTTCATTTCTCTTGGGTTTGCATTTCTCTCAATATTTGATTTAGTAAAAAAGCGTAAAATTATAACGCATATGACGGTTTTCTATATACACCGTCATGGTTTTACTCCGTACTTGTCATTTTGTTAATCTATTGTCGTAGGCTACTAAAATCCAGAAATCAAATCTAAAAAAGCAATACAAATTTAAGATGACGGTATTCAGAAAGGACAGTCGTATAAAACAAATAGACGACTGTATATTTCACTTAACGATGTGGGAATATAATTTTAATGATGCTCTAACTAAAGAAACCGACGTGGTTAGTAGAAATAACCCGGCATCGACTACTCCGAAACCTTCAGCCCTGTCGTGAAGCCTGCCACCATCCGCACCGTTCTTAGCATTATTGTCTCCCGAGAATGGACCATGCGCCAACTTGACGTGAAAAATGCCTTCTTGCATGGCTTCCTTACGAAGATGTTTACATGTCCCAACCACCCGGCTTCTCTGATCCGGATTCGCCTAACCACGTTTGCAAGCTCCACAAGGCTCTTTATGGCCTTAAACAGGCCCCTCGTGCGTGGTTCCACCGCATCAGCTCATTTCTTCTTGCCGCGGGCTTCAAACAAAGTCTCAGTGACTCTTCCCTCTTCATTTATAATGTTGGTGCTCATACTATCTATCTCCTTCTTTATGTTGATGATATTATCGTCACCGGAGATTTTCCTAGCCTTTTACAAAGCTGGTTCGACATTAAAGACCTTGGCCCGCTGCACTACTTTCTTGGGTCTTCAGGTTCTCCACCACAATGGCTGCCTGCACGTCCACCAGCTCAAGTATGCGGTTAATCTTTTGCGGAAACATAACCTTCACCACAGAAAACCGGTCTCCATGCCCCTTGCAGCCAAGGTCTCTCTCTCTCACCTTGACGGTTCACCCCTTGCGTCCCCTATTGAGTTTTGGGAAATTGTTGGCTCCCTCCAATACCTCACACTTACGCGCCCCAACATTGCCTATGCCGTCAACACTGTCACCCAGTTCATGAGTTCCCCCCATGCTCCACACCTTATCGCAGCCAAGCGTATCCTTCGCTATGTGAAGGGCACTCTTGATCATGGTCTTGTCTTCCGTCCTAGCCTCTCACAGCACGCCTCAGTGCCTACTCTAATGCCAATTGGGCTGGGTGCCCTGATACTCGACGCTCCATGAGTAGCTACCTAGTCTACTCTGGGTCCAATGTCCTCTCCTGGTGCTCCAAGAAACAACCTACCATTGCTCGCTCTAGTGCTGAGTCCGAATATCAATCTTTAGCTCACTCTTGTGCCGAAACAACCTGGCTTTTCTCTCTACTTCAGGAACTTGGCATCACTTTCCCTCTCCTTGTTCTTCTCTATTGCGACAACCTCAGTGCCACCTACATGGCCACTAATCCCGTCTTTCATGCTCGCACCCATCACATTGAACTTGACTATCATTTTGTTCGTGAAAAGGTGGCTCCTGGAAGTCACCGTGTTCTCTTCACTCCTTCTATTGATCAGCCCGCTGACCTGCTCACCAAGTCTCTTCACAAGCCTCGTCACACGTTGCTTTTGCTCCAAACTTGTTCAGCCAAGGCCGTTCCTAGTTCCACGGGCGGGGGGGGGGGGGGGGGGGGGGGGGGGGGGGGGGGTGTAGCGAGATTCTCTCGCTCCCTCAAATCTCTCACACAATCCCTAACATCTTTCCATCTGTATCTTGATACATATAGGAAGTTTATTAGGACTTGTCTTGGTGTGCACGACACTTGTAATTAACACAACCCCCATTGTATTATAAATACTATTCACGGAAGGAATGAAAAATACAAGGAATTATTTTCTACATTAAGTATTGTAAGGATTATATTTTGGTTCTTCTCTTATGACAAAACCAATGTATTTTGCTGAGGTATATGTATTGGTTTAGGTCTGTTTGAATGCACACATGCTAGATTGAAAAGTGTCATCTTTGCAATCCAAACTTAAATTCATTGCATACATTCACATGGGTTAATACACAGGATTGATACAAGCCTTAAAATCGTTTTCTGTTTCATTATGTATCAATCCTTCCTAGTTTGTTTTAATCCATATTTTACTTTGCATTCATACACATGGATTGATATACGGGGATTGATACAACCTTTAAAAAACGTGTTCTGCTTTATTCTGTATCAATCCTGCATATTATGTTTCAATCCACCTTGAGCTGTATCAATTAATATTTTATTAAAATATCTTCAGCTCTTGATTTCATCAATGAAGACTTCTTAAAATATCTTATGGTGTCAGTTAACTTCTTGAAACTAGTTTTCAAAAGCAAGAGTCTTCCTTCAAAACGACCTTCCATTCTCTCTCTTAGTATTTTTGAAAACAACATAGTGTTCTTAAGCCACCTAAAGATAAATATCTCTATGGCTGCGTTGAATATTTTTAGTCAAACCTTGCAGCTCTCCTTCATTTGTTCCAGCTCACAAAGCATATGACATTTTACTGTTATTTATCCTTATCCCTTGCCTTGTGTGCTCTGTCTGAATAGCTTGTCTCAAGAAGATTTTCAAAACTATTTTATTTCTTCTATTCTTCTTGAAACTGCCCACCTTGAGATCACTTTTAGTTATTCTCTTTCAAACATGTCTTGGACAGACCATGCGTAGCTTAATGTGTATTGCTCCTTATTGGACAACAAATAGGTTGTTCATTGAGATACACTTGCATACTGGTTTTCCAACATCACTCCATACACTACTACATTTTACTATTTGCGCGATGAAGGAAAATTCGTCGCGCAAAAGACACTATAGCGACGAAAAAAATAATTCGTCGCGCAAAAAGATGAAAACTTGAGCAACGAAAATTTTAGTCGCGCAAAGAACCTTAGCGCGATGAACAAATGATTCGTCGCGCAAAGTGGGGAAGAAAATGCGGGGGTTTTATTTGGCTCCAAAAATTTGCGCAACGGCAGAGTTGGTCGCTCGAAGATACTTTGCGCGACCAAAATTTTTTTTCCTCGCACAAAGTAGGGAAGTAAAAACCGGGTTTTTGTTTTTGGCGCCAAATATTTGCGCAACGATCATCGTTGCGAAAGATATCTTTGCGCGACGGTATAAAATTTCGTCGCACAAAGATGGACAGAAAATGGCGCCAAATACTTGTGCGACGAAAGTATGGTTCGTCTCGCAAGATTTGATGTCGGCACTGTCTTGTGCGACGGAAAGTTGCGCTTGCGCGACACCGTTAGAGTTTGGGCGACAACAACGAAATTCTGTCGCGCAAAAGCCCGATTTGACAGGTGTTTGAGTGACAAAAATGTTCTTTTGTCACGCAAAATCCTTCGTCTACATCTCTGCAATCTGCAATTTTAATTTTTCTCAAATTTTCTGCCATTTTAATTTTTCCTCTGTTTGTTCTGCTGCCTCTGCTGGGATTTCAATACGCTCATTGGGTAAGTATTATTTGTCGTTTGTTTAAAAGTATTAATGTAAATTCGTACTAACGGTATTAATTTTGTTCTCATTATAGATATTTGTAATTTGCAATTGTGGAGAACGATTGAGAAGGTATGTTATTCATTTTATATTAAATTATTTACATTATGTTGAACTTAGTTTGTTATATTTATATTTTTTGTTGTGAAATTATATTTATATTATGTTGTTAAATTGTGCGTGTCATAGCACAATGTGTTGTGATGTACGAAGTTAATTGAAATTAATTTCGTACTTTTATTATTATTTTTTAGTAACACTTAGTTTCCCGTTCGAGATTAGTTGGATTTCGTGCATGAATGCGTAATGCATGACTGCGGTCCAATTAATTCTTGAATTGTCCCATTATTTGGACAGTTTGGTAATGCATAGTGTTGTCACGTAATCTACGGCTACAGGATTAGGTTTTGATTGTGGAGATTTCGGTGTCATCTCGGTACGTTCTTCGGGTGGTACGTAGGTATTTATACCTATGGCCACCTCAAGAACTGTATCGAGATGCTGGCGAACTTCATCCACGTCGAAATCTAATCTCATGTAGCCGTAGGTTACGTGGCAGGACTATGCATTCCTGAATGGGATAGGGCCCTTACCGGAGGCATAAGGTGACATTATAACTTCGTATGAAGTTGTTGTGATTGTTGTGTTGTGATTGTGGTTTCAGGAATTATGAGCATAAGGTGGATACAGAACCCGAATAAATGCGCAGACGAATACTTGGATGGAATCGAGGATTTTATTGAGTTTGCACGTAGACACAACCCGGGTGCAACTAGAATCCCTTGTCCTTGTAGGAGGTGTAAGAACACGTTGTGGGAGACAATTGAAAATGTTGGCTTTCATTTAGTAAGGAATGGAATGATTGAGACATATAGCATTTGGAACCTTCACGGGGAACAATTAGACAATGCTTCGTCTTCAAATGCCACAAGGGTAGACAATATTGAACCTATTGTGGATCCTAATGAACAAGTCATGGATATTATAAATGATTCTTTTCCATTTTCCTCGACCAACATCAATCAGGAAGGGGAAGATGACGTGCCTACCCCAATGGACAGTGCAGAGTTCGAACAATATGAACAACTGTTAAAAAGTGCCAACCAAGAGTTATACCCAGGGTGCGAGAGCTTTTCTGTTCTCACGGCCATTGTTGAGCTAATGCACGGAAAAATAAAGTATCTCATGTCGAACATGTGTTTCGATTACTTTTGGGGGTTTTCAAGAAAATGCTTCCGAGGACAATTGTTTGCCCAAAGACCATAGACAAGTGCAAAAGCTGTTGAATGGTCTTGGATTGGGTTATGAAAAAAATTCATGCTTGCAAAAACAATTGCATGTTATTCTACAAAGAGTACGAAACATTGGATACATGCCCTATATGCGAAGAGTCGAGGTTCAAGATGACATCTTAGAATAGGACGACTAAGATCCCACAAAAAGTCATGCGTTATCTGCCCCTGAAACCTAGGCTACAACGATTTTATATGTCGACTCATACTGCCACAAACATGAGATGGCATAAGGAAAAATGGGTAGACGACGATGTGATGCGGCATCCTGCAGATGGGGAGGCATGGAAAGAGTTCGATCGAACATTCCCCGAGTTTGTTGCTGATCCCCGAAATGTTAGATTGGGACTTGCCATTGATGGATTCAATCCGTACGGGGTTCTAAACCACACCATAGCACTTGGCCGATTTTCGTATTCCCATTTAATTTGCCGCCTTGGAAATGCATGAAAAAAGAATACATGATGATGACTGTTTTGATAACTGAGGATCCTGGCAGGTCAATCGATGTTTACTTAAGGCCGTTGGTTGATGAGCTCAAGGATTTATGGATAAACGGTATGCGCACGTACGATAAAGCCACTGGGAAGATGTTCACTTTGCGGGCAACAGTGATGTGGATTGTGAATGATTTTCCCGCATATGCAATGGTTTTTGGGTGGAGCACAAAGGGTTATATGGCATGCCTTATATGCAAGGAAGATGTAACTTATGGTTGGCACGCGGGAAAAGTTTGTTATCTTGGTCATCGGAGATGGTTGCTATGGGACCACGAGTGGCGGGAAAGGGATAAAGAGTTTAACGGGAACACATAGCATCGCCTCAGACCTAGAGAATGGTCCGGTGATGAGATCTTGGAACAGCTTAACCGTTTGGATTTTTCTCCGTTCGGGAAAACAGTTACTCGGACCAGACCTTCTACGCATTTGAACTGGACGCACAAGTCTATGTTTTTTTTGAGCTCCCATATTGGTCGAAACTAAAATTGAGGCACAATCTCAACGTTATGCATGTTGAGAAAAATGTTTTTGACACTTTGATGGGGCACAATTCTAGATATTGAGGGTAAGACAAAGGACACGATCAAAGCTCGTCTTGATTTGGAAAGAATGGGCATACGAAGAGGTTTATGGATGAACAGGGACGGTGATAAAGGTAGAAGGGATCTGTCATTTTTTTCCATGAAACCGAATGATAAAAAAGATTTTCTGAAGTTTGTATCGTCGGTAAAGTTTCCCGATAGGTATGCTTCTAATATCGCGCATTGTGTGAATGTTGACGGGGGTAAATTTACTGGACTAAAGAGCCATGACTGCCATATGTTTATGCAACGCCTACTTCGTGTAGGGATTCGACACCTTTTGCCAGACGATGTAGTGAAACCAATCAGGTTGTTGTCCATTTTTTTTTCCCAACTGACGGCAAAAACATTGCGAAAGATCAGTTGCGCCATGACATTGTCCAAGTCCTACGTAAGTTCGAGATGATATTCCCTCCAGCTTTCTTCACAAGTATGATTCATGTGATGGTTCACTTGACAGAAGAGGCATTGCTCGCTGGTCCTGTAAACTATCGTTGGATGTATCCAATAGAAAGGTATATAATCCTCATCATTTGTTTATGCATCCTTATCCCATGCTCTCTAATTTGTATCGTTTCTTTTTATTTTGCCAGGCTTCTCGGAGAGTTGAAAAAAACTGTACGCAACAGGGCGAAGCCCGAAGGATCAATTATAGAGGCTTGGGTTCAATATGAGTCACTTACTTTCTGTGGAATGTATTTAAAAGATGTGGACACGGCTTTCAATAGTCCTCAGCGCAATAATGACGGAGGTCTGAGAAATGAGAAACTTTCTGTTTTTGCCCAAAGCATATGACCCTTTGGAGATCCGGTACGAGGAGAGTCGTTTTCCAGAAATGACATGGAGGTAGCGCATTGGTTCGTACTTAACAATTGTGATGAGATAATGGCATACTTAGATGAGCATGAAGAGATGATGAAGCGAGAACATCCATCACATTTGTATGCCAAGAAACACCGTGATTTGTTTCCACAATGGTTTTTGGAATATGTAAGTTATAAGAGTTTTGTATTTGTTATATATATATTTTTTTTGTATTATTTAATGTTAGCAAACTAACATGTGAATTCATTTGTATAATATTAGGTGAATAAGTTGAAATCATCGAATTCACCCTCTTACAGTGAAGAGTTATATAACTTGGAGTTCGGCTTGATTTGCGCTGAATTATTCTCGGGTTGCCATGTTAACGGCGTCAAGTTTTTGGCGACTGCACAAGATGACAAGTTGTGTACGCAAAACAGCGGTGTCCATGTCCCAGGTGGTGGCGAAAGTACGAACATTGATTTCTATGGCAAACTCACAACTGTCGTGCAATTGCTTTACAAAGACCGATACCAAGTGATCATGTTTAAGTGTCGATGGTTTGATACAAACCCAAATAGGCAGGGAAGTGTTAAAATAGACGATGGCTTACTATCAGTGAACATTAACAGAACTTGGTATGATGACGACCTTTACATTTTGGCAAACATGGCAAGACAGATTGTGTATCTAGATGACCCTAAAGCCGGAAGCGGTTGGAAAATAAGTTGGATCCACTGACGTAGAAAGCAAACCGTGTCGTTAGAAAATCCGATTTAGCACAAGCGGTGGGAATACGAAGAGCATTGTTTAGAACATGTCAAACATATGAGTATATGGTGGACCAATGTGGCGGGTATTTAAAAGTTGGTTTTCAAATAAAGGATCTGTACAATAAGTTGGATCCATCACGCAGGGAAATTTTACTCGACGGTGACACAGAAGCCGCACTCTGTTACTTGAAAGCGAAAGGAGCAATGGATCCAAAATTATTTTGTAAGTTCAGTGTTGACGAGGAAAATAGGCTTGGTAATTTGTTTTGGAGGGACTCCACTTCACTTTTGGATTAGATTGCCTATGGCGACGTCCTCATATTCGACAGCACATACAAAACAAATGTTTATGACAAGCCCCTAGTGTTGTTTGTCGGTTCGAACAACTATCAGTCTACTGTAATGTTTGGTTGCGCATTATTGCAGGACGAGACATTTGAAACTTACAAGTGGTTATTGGAAACATTCATGGCATCCATGAAAGATAAGAAGCCAATATCAATATTGACGGATGGCGATGAGGCGATGCGTAAAGCCATTGATGATGTGTTTCCCATGTCTAACCATCGGTTGTGCTCATGGCATGTGTCAAGGAATGCACAGAATAACTTGAAGGATGATGAATTGCTAAGAAATTTTCAGGCATGTATTTGGGAACCATTTGCATTGGACGAGTTTGAGAAGAAATGGGAGGTTTTGAGGGAAAGAGCGAGTACTTCGAAACAAAAAGAATGGTTGGAAATGATGTATGAAAAAAGAGACTCATGGGCTAAATCATGTATGAGAGGAAAGTTTTTCGGTGGTATGTACACCACTCAACGTGTGGAGTCCATGAACAAGTATGTGAAAGATTACTTGAGAAAAGGCGTGAAGTTGTTTGAATGTATTCTAGCACTCGATAGGGCTATGTTACGTCTTAGGAATAACACGGCGAAGGATGGTTTCAACGCAAAGTACTCAACATCAGTCCTTAAAACCGCATTGACAAAACTAGAGCAACAAGCTTCTCTGATTTACACGCATAGGTGCTTTGTATTGGTACGTCATGAGATCGAATCTTGTTCAGCACTCACCCATGATAATGTGATGCATAATTTTGGAGGTCGTGTATACGTATTGTCCAAATATGGTGAACCGCATAATAATTGGACTTGTGTTTACCACGGTGGGGAAAATATGCGGATAGAGTGTGGATGCCGGAAATATGAAAGTGAAGGGATCCCGTGTTGCCACCTGTTTTATGTAATGAAGTGCGAGCACCTTACGGAAATTCCTCCAGCACTCATAATGAAGAGATGGACAAAGAGTGCCCAAACTGATACATGTATGGAATTTATCGGCAAAGGTAAAGACACTACCAACGAAGTTGTAGAAATGGCGAGGTATGGAAGTTTAAATGCTATGTCAAACAAAGTTTGTTTTTATGCATCGAAGAGTGCAGAGGGTTATGCCATGTTGATGAATGAGTTTAGTAGATGGGAGGGAATTTGTGAAGGCTTACGGCAAAAGGAAGAAGAGACAAGTCTGAAATTGGGTACTGCTGACCAATGTCCTACAAATATTGTGAAAGATCCAAATATGGTTAAGACAAAAGGCACTCAAGCAAGGCAAGGTGGAACGCGCAAGCGTCGACAATGTCATTTGTGTCGCGGATATGGACATACAAAGCGTAATTGCTCTCAAAGAAACTTGCATCCAAGTAGAAATGCATGTGTCAATATCCCATCAGGTAGTGAAAGCTATCAGTATAGTTCTGATAAAGGGCCGTCCCCGGACATTAGCTACAGTTATCCTAGTCAAATGGTTTCTCAATGCAGAGGCAACTATGTGGTTGATTTGTCTAGTTCTGATAGTTTTTCTACTGCAGACCCAACCGGTTCTACCCCGAACAGTGACGATGGTTTCTCATTCGACAATGGTGAACCTATCCCTAGGTACTGGTTCAACCCAAAACAATTGTAGTTTTGGAACTTGGTTTACATGTAACAATTAACATTAAATATAGATTTAGTGATGGACAATGTGCTTTCATATGACTGTCGTATTATTGTTTTATGTATGTATTGTTTAGAATAAAAGTATTTGCTTGGTTATCTTTGGCGTTGCGCTAGACATTAATTAGGTTTGCGTTTTTAAGGTATGTTTAGTTTGCCCACAGCCGGTCGGCATTTGCATTCCACACGTGCAATTGCATGACGGTGATGTAATGCAAGAGTGACTGTGCGCAAACCAATAATAAGGAAAAATGGATCATATATTTTTTTTTACAAGCATAATTTGACCTTTTTTTTGAACTATAAATCGAAGGGCAAAATGAACCGAAATACAGAGCATGTAAATAAATGGTAAGGGGCAATAAGCCGAACATATTATATTACAAAACGGCCAATGATCGAAATTACGTACTAATAGACATTGCCATTTAGCAGAAATGACTTCCCAAAAGATCCCAAATTTCGTAAAACACAATGTGATTAACCCTAATTTCAATAGTAGACATAGGGTCGTAACAACGTATTTGTTTGGATTTCGTTGTGTTTGCGCTATACATTAAATAAGTTTGCGTTTTAAAGCTATGTTTAGTTTGCGCACAGTCGGTCTGCATTTGCATTTCACACATGCAATTGCATGACGGTGATGCAATGCAAGACTAACTGTGCGCAAACCCATATTAACAAAAAATTGAGCATATTTTTTTGTACAGGCATAAGTAGACCTACGTTTTGAACTGTAAATCAAAGGGCGAAACCAACAGAAATACAGGGCATGTAAATAAATGGTAAGGGTTGGGCTTTAAGCCGAACATATTCTATTACAAATTGACCAATTATCGAAATTATGTACTAATACACATTGCCATGTAGCACAAATGAGTTTCCAAAATATCCCAAATTTCGTAAAACACAATGTGATTAACCCTAATTTCAATAATAGACATAGGGTCGTAATAAAATAGTTGCTTGGTTTTCGTTGTCTTTGCGCTATACATTAAATAAGTTTGCGTTTTTCAGCTATGTTTAGTTTGCACACAGCCAGTCTGCATTTGCATTTCACACATGCAATTGCATGACAGTGATGCAATGCAAGAATGACTGTGCGCAAACCCATAATAACCAAAAATTGATCATTTTTTTTGGTATAGGCATAAGTAGACCTATTTCTATGACTATAAATCGAAGGGCGAAATCAATAGAAATACAGAGCATTCAAATAAATGCTAAGGGTTGGGCTATAAGCCGAACATATTCTATTACAAATTGACCAATTATCGAAATTACATACTTATACACATTGTCATGTAGCACAAATGACTTTCCAAAATATCCTCAATTTCGTAAACCAAAATGTGATTAACCCTAATACAAAAATAATACACAGAGGGTCCTAATAAAATTCGGAACTTCCTTTTCTTTGTCTTTGCACTATCCATTAATTAGGTTAGCGTTTTGAAGCTAGCTTTAGTTTGCACACACCTGGTCAGCATTTGCATTGTAAACATGCAATTGCACGACGTTGATGCAATGCGAGAGTGACTGTGGGCAAACCACTACAGAGGAAAAATGGATCAATTGAAGGCAGCAAAATGAACCGAAATATACTACATGAGAAACGGTAAGGGCCAATAAACTGAACATATTCTTTTACAAAACGAAGATACCATGATCCGAAAAATGTCACTGTATCCATAATTTACATGGTTTTCTTTCTCTTTGGGGTACGTGAACGAAGACTTTTCTCACCTTTGCGTTTTTGGTCTGTGGAGTGTTGTTCTACATCCGGATTACCCTTAGCTGCGGCCCCGTCCTCATCTGCATCCTCATCCTCATCCTCATTCCCGTCTTCGATCCAAACTTCCTCGTCATCTCCCTCTTCATCTTCATCTTCCTCTTCTTCTTCCTCTTCCTCTTCCTCTTCTTCTTCCTCCTCTTCCTCTTCTTCCTCTTCTTTTTCCTCTTCCTCATCTTCTTCATGCTCTTCTTGTATCACAAGTTTGGTCTTTCCTTTTCTACCTATGTCATGTTTAAATTTTGTGCGAAACTCCTACATAAAGAGAAACATTGACATATATAAATAAACAATTTTGTTCACATTTGTTGTTCACACAAGTGATGCTGGTTTGCATTGCAGAATGTAACATATTATTTAAATTTGCAAAATTGAACATCTTATACATCGAACTTTACAATGGAGGTTGGAAGTAACAAACTTACATGTTCTACATCATCATCTACGACGTGTTGAACAAGACCCGAACTCGCAATGGTTGTGCCCGAGGTGTTCTTCAATTTCTCCTATTACAAGATAACATCGTTCATGTTCAATACCATGGTTTGTTATCTGATTATAACATTCGTGATGTTTGTTAATTTTATGAAATGAGTATGAAATGAAGTTGAACTGACTCAATCTCTTGTCGTAGGCGCTTGATCTCTACGCTTGCTTCCGATGCAGTTGAAAATAGTACAGCATTCAACCCAGCAATTAGGTCCAAAAGCTCGGTTGCAGCTTCAGCAGTGACCTACATTATGGCACATGTAATTACAACAATGACCACCGGAAGCCCTCATGTATTAATAAATTATGCAATAGAAGCTACTTACATGCGTGACACCATCAGGTAATGGTAGATCTGGGCTATCTTGCCCACGGGGTATCCGCACAAGTTTACTTTCATTTTCAGCGGCCCAGTATGGTATTCGCGCTGACCATGGCTGAGGAGAGATGTTTGCTACCCTTATCTTGGCCCCTTCAGGAGTTCGATGTTCTTCTTCCTGTGGAATTCAGGTATCATTTTAGAATTTTGAAAAATTATATGCATTTCATGCAGCAAGTGTAATTACATAACACGCGTTCAGTGTAAAACGTACCGCTTCACGTAAGTCCGCATAGTGGCGATACCGTATGTACTCATCTCTGTACTGGGCATAGTCGGATGAATTTGCAAGCCATTCGGAAGCTGGGTACCCATTCAGTGCTTCCTCGACTTCTAACTCATCAGTGAGTTTATAATCCGAAAGCATTGTCCTCGGTGAAATTTTCGGTACTTGAGGTTCTGTGGTGCCTAAACTTTGCATTGCGACTCGCTCTCCCAAAAACCAAGCTGAACTAGCTGGTCCCTCAAGTAGGATTCGTTTACGAGTTGCCGGCACGGTATTTTTTACTTCTTCTGGCAACTCGGATTCATTGGTCCCCCATGGGTTCCAATTTACCTGCAATACAAATTGCTTACATTTGCGAATCATACATTTTTGTGGTCATAAAATATGGGTTCAAGAGTCAAGGCTTTATACCTGATCCTTTGTTAGATGTCGCATCATCACTCTAAAGTGTTCCAAGTGATGTTGCAAGTCCCACTTTGATTTTGCACCAACCCACCTCAATGTTCGGGGCCACGTGTTCACGGTCCCACTAGGCCTTGATAAAGCAAACGGTTTTAGAACATGTAAGAAAGGGTCGTGTTTTAAACCGTCACGTTTAAACCGTCCCTTGATAAAGCAAACAATTTTCTATACAAGACATGTTTGCTATACAAGACATGTAAGAAAGGGTCGTGTTTTAAACCGTCACGTTTAAACCGTCACGTTTTAGAACGTCCCTTGATAAAGCAAACAATTTTCTATACAAGACATGTTTTAAACCATCGTCTTTACTTTCTACGTCGGTGGATTCATACCTTCTGCTGTTGTTTGTTGGCTCCAAGTTTACTCTGTAGAAAACCTTTTTCAATAAGACGTCGCTTTTTTAAAATAGGTGTGTCGTGTTTTAAAAACAACCATTGGATTCCCCATTTTTTAGGTGTTTAAGTGTCTTTTCAAACACAACGATGGTTTTCCGTTAAACCGTCGTTTTTTCTGGTCGTCTTTTTCACTTTTTGTAGTAGTGATATAACAAGCAAATTGCTATAGACCTTTTGTTTGTTTTTTTGTCAGAAATGCTATAGACCTCACGACGAGCAGACGAGAAGACATAACAATGAAAACTGACACGGCAAATGGAATAGAATTTTATTTTCTTTAAACTTAGAAAGATATTGGTGAACCAAAACTTAATTCAAAACATTCACAGAATAAGAAAAACATACACTAATCATTTGAGCAAATAAAATAAAGGTTGAAAGTAAATACCTGATTTTCCGAAACCACCCATTCCAAAAATGCAGGTATATCTTCTATGAACGGTAGTTTGAGGTTCTTATTTGCAGATATAACAGCAAATCCCTTTGAAATGGTAAACATGATCACTCCAAATATGATGATCCTCCCAAGAATCTTTTCTGACCCACTGAAATTGATAAAACAAATATGAAATCAATATTTTATTCTTCCTTTTGGTCATAAATGTTGCTGTCAAACCAAAAATTAAAGAAAAACTTACCTGACTTTTCTTTCTCTGTTTAGACTTTGGCTGCTTGACGTATGTATGAGGCTGAGGTGAAGCTTCTTTTTCCTTTCTAATTTTATGGCCAAAAAATCACCAAAGAAGTAGAGAGTTCGAAGTCGATGATGAAAACTGATGGGTGTAAAATATGTGGCTTTCTGTTTATATAGCTGAAGTTGTGTGACTTTATTTTTTTGTTTTTCTATTTCTTTCTTTTTTTAACTTTTAGAAACTGAATAGTGATTAGGGAGTCACGTGCTCTCTACAAACGACCTGTCTCATGTTCATATTCCAATGGATGGATAGACACAAGACTATTTTTACTTCGTTATCTGTCAGTTATTTTTTTTGTTTTTAGTCTGAAAAACTATGCACTTGCTGAAACCCAAAGGTAGGTAGCAATTCAAATGCTAAACCTAAAGAAATGCACCAGTCTCTAGGCTTGGCTTTTACCAAAAAGTTGAAGACACCAGTCAATTGGCTATCACTTTTTCAATCCTGCTCTGTTGATAAGATTTGGAAAAAGATTCTGTAATGTTCCAAGCATGAGAAAGTTTCTTGATAACATGTTTAAAGGGTACAATCTTCCAGTTCATTTCAATTCTATTTTTTTGTAAAAACTTGTATGATATTAGAATTAAGAATAATAAGACATAAACTGCAGTAAAAGCAGAGACAATTCACTTTGAAACGTCAAAAGAAACAACTCACTTGATATAGCCACTCACATGATAGGCACGTGATGTTTTTTAAAAACAATGGGAACCGGCTGTTTTGGGTAACAGGTTAAAAGAAGGAAAAAAAATCCACGCGCTCGTTCTTCAACTTGCTCTGAACTGTCGCTCGTCCTACTCCTGTAAACCTAAGATCCAAAAGGAGGATAACGCAGCGGCCAACGCACAACAATGGCTTCCTGCGCACTAGCTTCAATTTCTTATCTGCTTCCCATGTAATCTCTCTCTCTCTCTCTCTCTCTCTCTCTCTCTCTCTCTGTGAAATAATTGGGCAAAAATAAAACTAAATGTATACGAAACTCCAATTCTCAATTTGTGCGTTGATCCTTCTTATCTTTTTGGCTACAAAGGGTGCAACCTGAGAGTGGAAAATTCAATGCTTTCCAACTCCTCCTTTAGGACGCAGGTTACAAATTGTTGTCATTTCTCAGTGTGTTTTTTTAACTTTCTTCCCAATTTGGTTCTAATTGGTATTTTTCCTTAATTTTGATTTATAAACATTTTGCAGGTAACTTCCGGAATGCAAAAATGGCAGCGTTTGGCGAATGTAGCGCCGAAGGAAATTGGTACGAAAGAGAAAACTCCAATTGACTGCTTGCGTAATCTTTCTTGTTAGTAGTGTGAATTTTATGACAAAACAAAGTAATTTAATTTGGGAACCCAATTTTAGAGTTTTCACATGTCTAAATTGACGTGTTTTTATAAGTGAAAGCTCATCATGAAAAAGGTATAGAGTTATGTAAGTTATCGTAAATTCATGTTTTCGTACTCTCTCTCCATAAGCCCAGCTTTTGGATGCACTGTTCTGTTTCTAATTGAAGCTTAATATGCTTTGGAAATTAGATTCTTCAAAGTGGGTTTTCCTTCAGGCTATTCTGAAAGCAGAGCCAACAATCTCAGCTAGCATTTTTTTTGAAAGAATTACATAAATTGGTGGTATGTTTCTGCTATTGAGTCAAGTTTTGTTTTTGGATTTTCCTAATAGGTAGCAGTTTCTATGACGTGGCTCTTCTGCTCTGCAATCACCACACTTCTGGTTTGTAATCTTGAATACTCCAGATTTTAATTAGCATTGGAAATTGAAAATTGGCTATGGTTTTCTTGTGCAATCATTTTTAGGAAGGTGAATTCCCAATGTGGTTTTTTCAAGGGCTTTCAAGTGACCAACTCAGTCACTTGAAAAGCTGATGGGTGTTATGAGGGAAGTGCTTCCTAACACAATGGCTACTGTTCGTATATCCGGAATGGAGCTCAGTGTCTTGGGTTGCCGTTACCATTTCGAAGATTGTATTGCTAAATCTGTAAGTGTATGGTTCAAATGTGATTTTCATGATTGGTATTGGTTTGCTGTGATTGCCGTAACTGCTATATATTGGTTGTTTTGGCTAAGGATTCAGGAAAAGAGCAGTTAAGAAAAGTGCATTTTTGTTGCACTAAAATATATGTTTTGAGATACCATCACAATGTTTAAATAATCTCTCTCTACCTCCCCCTCATTTGCAGGAAGGGGTATGCTCACTTGGATTTTTCATGCATACTTGGTGAGATTCTAACCTTCTTCCGAGAGCCTAATATTTAGGGGCTAACATTTGTGTACTCTACAAGTTTTAAATTGAGCTAAACGTACTACAAAATATTTTACGTGAAGTGTTTTCTTTGTTTATGTTTCTTTTTTGAGATCTTATTTCTTATTTATGTGACATGTAGTCTTGGTTAGAGAAAATAGATGATATCACATTTAATTTTCTATAGCTTTTAGGTAGTAGTAGATTATCCGTATTGTCATGCAAATGAACACACACAAAAAGAGGCCCTCTAGCCAAAAAGAGGAAATTTGGTGATCTTTGCATACATTATAAGAGTGTGAGCCAATGAGCCTTCTAGTAAAAACGAAAGAAGTTAAAAACCAAAAGAAGGGTGGAATGCAATTGCATATTGTAAACTAAGAATTGCAAACAGAGGTTACGAAATTGCATACATATATATGCAATTGCATATTGTAAAATGAGAATCGCACATAGATGCTACGAGATTGCATACAGGTATATGAACGAAAAAAGTTAAAAACCAAAAGAAGGGCGGAATGCAATTGCATATTGTAAACTAAGAATTGCAAACAGAGGTTACGAAATTGCATACATATATATGCAATTGCATATTGTAAAATGAGAATTGCACATAGATGCTACGAGATTGCATACAGGTATATGAACGAAAAAAGTTAAAAACCAAAAGAAGGGCGGAATGCAATTGCATATTGTAAACTAATAATTGCAAACAGACGTTACGAAATTGCATACATATATATATATATATATATATACAATTGCATGTTGTAAAATGAGATCGAACATAGATGCTACGAGATTGCATACAGGTATATGCATATGGATACTGTAAATTGAGAATTGCACACATGTGCTATCAAATATGCGATATATGCCCACAAAAACCATTAACATGGCTAAATTGTTGATTTAGCCCTTGAACTTGTATCCAATTTTCAATTTATCGCATGACATTTTTTTTATAAAATTACGGATATGAATTTTCTTTATCGCCAATGTCTCCTTTGCCGTTTAATTCCCTAACATTTCATCCAATCTGTCATTAAATATGAGGGCACATTGGTCATTTCATATGTTAAACATAATTGAATTATGTAAAATAAAATAATATGAAAGGATGTTAAATATATGCCTTAAAGCCAAACATGTGATATTGCGTTCTTTTTTAGATATTTCACCATCATTTATGGGCAAAATCGTTGTTTTCATCTATGTTATTTAGTCTACAATCATAACAGCACAACAATCCTTGGAATATGATTCGTATGTGGACTATGCAATGAGATTGGATATATGTAGATTTCTCATATTTCCACTTCACTTCATGGTCATATATTATCAATTGGGCATTGATCATAATCGAAAAAGTCCAATTTTCTTTTTCGTCAATTCAATGTGGCTCAATCAATTGATCATTAAGTAATAATTTTTGTTGAAAGTTTTTAAATTTATATTTGAACCAACAATCATATGTTTGATTTTATTGATTTTTTTTAATTAACAATATAGGAATAATTGGAGATAATCAACAAAGTTCAATTTTATTCCCAATAGTTCATTAGGTTAAATTAGTAGTAAATCATGAAAGTTATATTCAGTAATTTATGCCCAACAAACCTACCTAAAGAACACTAAGCGACTCATTCTTCGGGTAAATAATGTTGTTTGTTGACCAAATTACCCAACGAACTCCTTGATTTACTCAACAAACAAGGTATTTTACTTCGAAGACGTAAGGGGAGCGCTCGTTGAGTAAAGTTCGTTGTTCCCTGGGAAATTGGACTAGCTAAAATATTTTATCAAACAAATGCACTATTTTTTCACGCAAACGCAGGTGGTGCGTTCGTTGAATATGTCTTGAAATTTTATATGCAATTATTTACAATGGATGTGCAATTGCACAACAATTCTAGGGCATGCATTAACAACTGAAACATCGACAAATGCGTAGTCTCTTTTTGAAATTCATTCCACTATTTGGAAATTGCATGGTTGTCAATACAAATGCTAACGACACAAATTACATTCAATTACACATTACTCATATTGCAATTGAATTTGTAACCTACATCCTAAAGTCGAACAAGTATAAGAAAATGCTATTACACTTCATAACTTAAACCCTAAAGCCTAATAAGCATATAATTTTTTTTAAACACCTTAAATATCAACATACCATCCATTGGTATCACTAATAATCCTATTGCTCAAAATAAGTGACCGGCTAATTGGTTCTCCATTTTTCTTGGCAAAAAAATTGGTTCTCTTTTTTAATTGTTACATATACTATATACTGATTAAAATATTATATTTGACTAAAAGAAATTAAAATATTATATAATGTATAGATACCCATAGAAAAGAATAATTAGACCATCCATATTATATTTAGACCAAAAAAATAAAAAGAATATAACTAATGCAGGGTTTAACATTGCAATTGAGAGCCATACTGTAAATCTAAGCTATTTACTCGAGATCTATATTTTAATCATTACCCTTAATATGGCTAGTGATGAATTCAATTTCTTCACCTCACAGAGGTAAGGCAAAGGATTAAAATATTAGTCGTGCAGATAATATCAAGCCTTCAATTTATGGATATTTCGAAGGATATATGGTTATCATTTTAGGTATCACGAAAAAATCAACAAAAATGATAGATATAGGCATTGAAACCCATAATTTTAGTGTAAAACTTTCATAAATGTTATGTACATTATCAATGAATGTATTGAACAAATAAAACTCAAAATTTACTAATAATAAGATATACATATGATGAAATATAAGTGGTATATAATGCTGTTAATGAAAAGTTTGAAAATAAAATGTTGATTAGAATGAATAAACCATGCATAAATCCATAGTTTGTTTAAACATTGGATTACAATTTAGATAAGTGTCCATCTACATAAATGAAGAGCTCCAATGAGGTCCAAACAATGAGGAACAACCATCTAGATTTATACAATAGTTATACCAAGTCATGTAACCTGGTTTGTAAGCCATGTTTGAACATGGTGCACATAGGTCTCTCTTGAGCTCCCTATTGTCCTCCTATATATGTGATAGTTAAGATTAACCCAACTGATGGGCAGGGGCGGCCCTGGCATGGTGTAAGTGGCGCCACTGAACAGGGCCCCCTAAATTTTTTTACTTTATATAATATATATTAATATTATAAAAGCTATATATATACTCCAACGTGCAACACATTGACACAAAAAGTGTATTTAGTGGAGTTGATTTCTAGTGCATATCCCTTGGTACAAGGCCTAGGTTCGAGTTTTAGTTATGTGAATATATTCGTAATTTTATTCTCTTTTTATTATAAGAACAAAATTTTAAGTAGTTTTAAAAAGAAGCAAGTGAAAAATATAAGGGGAAAGATCCAATTAAATTAACAATAGTATATATCACACCCATACGCTTTTTCTATAAAAAATAATAATAATAATTTCTTCGACTCAAAACAAAACAAAAAAATTTATGTCTTTTTCTTTCTCGCGAACTCTTATTTTTTCTTACCGAATCTACAAACGTTTAAATTTATCAAATGAACGCATCATACATAACGAAAGCAACCCCTACGTTCGTGTGAAAAAATAGTGCGTTTGTTTGATAAAGTATTTTACTTGGTCCAATTTCTCGGGAAACGGCAAACTATACTCAATGAACGCACTCCTTGCGTTTGCCAGAAAAAATATCACGTTTGTTTGAAAATGTAAGTTAGTGAGGTCCATTTTCCCGAGGAACGGGCAATTTTACTCAACGAACGAACTTTTTGCATTCGTGTGAATAAATATCCCGTTTGTTTGAAAAAGTAAGTTAATTGGGTCCATTTTCCAGGGGAACAACCAATTTTACTCAACGAACGCAACCCCTGCGTTTGCCTGAACAAATAGCCCTTTTGTTAGAAAAAGTAAGTTAGTAGGGCCCATTTTTTCGGGGAACAGGTTACTTTACTAAACGAACGTAACCCCGACATTTGCGTGAACAAATAGCCCGTTCGTTTGAAAAAGTAAGTTAATTGGACCATTTTTCAGGGGAACGGGCAACTTTACTCAACGAATGCAACCCTTGCATTTGCGTGAACACATAGTTCGTTTGTTTGAAAAAGTAAGTTAGCTGGGCCCATTTTTCCAGAAAAACGGGTAACTTTATTCAACAAACGCAACCTATGCGTTTGCGTGAACAAATAGCTCGTTTGTTTGAAAAGGTAAGTTAGTTGGGCCCATTTTTCTGGGAACATGCAACTTTACTCAACAAACAAAACTCATTGCGTTCGCGTGAACAAATAGTCCGTTTATTTGAAAAAGTAAGTTAGTTGGGCTCATTTTTTGAGCAAACGCGCAACTTTACTCAACGAACGGAATCCGTGAATTCGAGTGAACAAATAGCCCGTTTGTTTGAAAAGGTAAGTTAGTTGGGTCAATTTTTCCAAGGAACGGGTAACTTTACTCAACGAACTCAGCCTCTGCATTTGCGTGAACAAATAGCCCGTTTGTTTGAAAAAGTTAGTTAGTTGGGCTCATTTTTCCGGGGAATGGGAAACTTTATTCAACGAACAAAACTCATTGCGCTCGCATGAAGAAATAGTTCGTTTACTTGAAAAAGTAAGTTAGTTGAGCCCATTTTTTGGGGAAACGAGCAACTTTACTCAACTAACGCAACTCGTGCATTCGAGTGAACAAATAGCCCGTTTGTTTGAAAAAGTAAGTTAGTTGGGTCTATTTTTCCAAGGAACGGGTAACTTTACTCAACGAACTCAGCCTCTGCATTTGCGTAAACAAATAACCCATTTGTTTGAAAAAGTAAGTTAGTTGGGGTCCTTTTTCCGAAGAACAGGCAACTTTACTCAACGAACGCAACCCCTTGCGTTCGCATGAACAAACAACCCATTTGTTTGAAAAAGTAAGTTAGTTGGGTCCTTTTTTTCGGGGAACGAGCAACTTTACTCAACGAATGCAACCTATGCGTTTGCGTGAACAAATAGCTAGTTTGTTTGAAAAAGTAAGTTAGTTTGGCCCATTTTTCTGGGAACAGGCAACTTTACTCAACGAACACAACCTCTATGTTGGCGTGAATAAATAGTCCGTTCGTTTGAAAAAGTAAGTTAGTTGGGCCCATTTTTCCAGAGAACGGGTAACTTTACTCAACGAACACAACCCATTGCATTGGCGTGAATAAATAGTCCGTTTGTTTGGAAAAGTAAGTTAGTTATGCCCGTGTTTCCAGAGAACGGGCAACCTTACTCAACGAACGCAACCCATGCGTTGGCGTGAATAAATAGTCCGTTTGTTTGAAAAAGTAAGTTAGTTATGCCAACTTTTCTAGAGAACGGGTAACTTTACTCAACGAACGCAACCCATGCATTTACATGAATAAATAGTCCGTTTGTTTGAAAAAGTAAGTTAGTTGGACCCATTTTTTCAGAGAACGAATAACTTTGCTCAACGAATGCAACCCATGCATTTGCATGAACAAATAGCCCGTTTGTTTGAAAAATTAGGTTAGTTGGGTCCAACTTTATTCAACGAACGCACCCCTTACTTCCTCGAAGTAAAATACCTTGTTTGTTGAGTAAATCATGGAGTTCTTTGGGTAATCTGGTCAACGGGCAACATCATTTACCTGACAAACGAGTCACTTAGCGTTCGTTAGGTAGGTTTGTTGGCATAAATTACTCAATATATTTTTCGTGATTTACTACTAATTTAACCCAATGAACTATTGGGAATAAAATTGAACTTTGTTGATTGTCTCCAATTATTACCATATTGTTAATTGAAAAAAATTAATAATATCAAACATATGATTGTTGATACAAACATAAATTTAAAAACTTTCAACAAAAATTATTACCGGCCACATTGAATTGACGAAAAAGAAAATGGGACTTTTTCGATTATGATCAATGCCCAATTGATAGTATATGATCATGAATGTTTATGACATGAAGTGGAAGTATGAGAAGTCTTCTTATATCGGGTCTCATTGCATAGCCTTGATATGAACCATATTCCAAGGATTATTGTGCTGTTATGATTGTAGGCTAAATATCATAGTTGAAAACAACGATTTTACCCATAAATGATGGTGAAATATCCAGAAAAGAAAGCAACATCACATGTTTGGCTTTAGGGCATATATTTAACATCCTTTCATATTATTTTATTTTACATAATTCAATTATGTTTAACGTATGAAATGACCAATTTGCCCTCATATTTAATGGCATATTGGACGAAATATTAGGTAATTAAATGGCAGGGGAGATATTGGCGATAAAGACAAATTCATATCCTTAATTTTATTAAAAAAAAAGGTCATGAGATAAATTGAAAATTGGGTACAAGTTCAAGGATTAAATCAACAATTTAGCCATGTTTAATGGTTTTTGGGCATATATCGCATATTTGATAGCACATGTGTGCAATTCTCAGTTTATAATATGCATTTGCATATACCTGTATGCAATTTTGTAGCATCTATGTGCAATTCTCATTTTATAATATGCAATTGCGTATAGAGTATGCAATTTCGTAACGTATGTTTGCAATTCTTAGTTTACAATATGCAATTGCATATAGAGTTTGCAATTTCGTAACGTCTGTTTGCAATTCTTAGTTTACAATATGCAATTGGATTCCGCCTTTCTTTTGGTCTTTAACTTTGTCGTTTTTACTAGAAGAGGAAGAAGAGGAAGAAGAAGAGGAAGAGGAAGATGAAGAGGAGAATGAAGACGAAGCTTGCATCGATGAGGATGAGGATGCCGATGAGGGCGGGGCCGCAGCTAAGGGTAATCCGGATGCAGAACAACACTCCACAGACCAAAAACGCAAAGGTGAGAACACGTACCCCAAAGAGAAAGAAAACCAAGTAAATTATGAATACGATTCAATTTTTCGGATCATTGGTCCGTTTTGTAATATAATACGTTCAATTATTGGCCCTTACCATTTCTGATGCTTTATATTTCAGTTCATTTCACACCCTTCAATTAATAGTAAAAAAATAGGTCTACTTATGCCTATATAAAAAAAAAAATTTATCCATTTTTCCTTTTTAGGGGTTTGCGCACAGTCACTCTCGCATTGCATCAGCGTCGTACAATTGCATGTTTACAATGCAAATGCCGACCGGCTGTGTGCAAACTAAAGATAGCTTAAAAACGCGAACCTAATTAATATATAGCGCAAAGACAAAGAAAACCAAGCAAATGCTTTATTATGACCCTATGTCTATTATTCAATATTAGGGTTAATCAGATTGTGTTTTACAACAATTGGTAACTAATTTACTCTATTAACACTACAAAACGACATCAAATTTTTTTTTTCCATAAATAGTCCACTAAAGATAAAATCATGATACCCAATGTGTAGTATACATCATTCCAAAAATTGTAATATGCATCAACATTTCTCCCACAAATTCACAAGACATACATCTCTTAGAAACAAAATCTAAAAATAAATGTATTTCAACCAGCACATCTCTTGCTCAATATCTCATGTTTGACCACACCTTCTCTGACTGCTTCCTGAACCTGCATGAAAAAATTGAAGTAATTTAGACCATCAGAACATAAACAAATAAGAGAGTCTAAACATAGTTCTACAATGTCCAGCATAAGGGTTTATACTAGGATTGTTAAAAGGAATAAAAGACTTAAACTGCATAATATCTACATTACCATATTTATTGAGTAGAATTCGTAAAGAAAGCCTACAAGTAACAACCAAACTGAATCTTTCACACAACTAATTCAAAACATGAAGCATTTGTATACTAATAAAAATCCTGCAAATTAATGAACTGTTTGGATTAGTAATTGCATACCTTTAGTGTTGATGTCCCCTTTAAAGTTGGAGTGAGCTACTGGGGAAGACTCAGTCAGTTCATTATCCGGAGGAATCACAATGCACCTAAGCAGAGCAGGATCATATCTTTCAAAAGTGAGGTTTATGCTTTTGAACAGTATGTTGTAAGATGGCAGCGATGGAAGATATGAGAAGATTAAGCATTGTACATGAAAATAACATGTGTTAAAGTAAAAGGTTCACAATCCTAAATTTCCCTAAACTTGAATGAAATCAGTAATGACTTATATAATTCTTATGAGTGCGTTGTCTCATAAAAGATTCACAATCCTAAACTGGCTTTTGCTAGTTAACAAATATTGAAATGTGTTAGGTAAAAGTCAACCACAAAAGCCTAGCGGTCAAAATGCAATTACATACACAACACAATGCAAAGAAAAGAACCTGAAACACAAGAGTGCTTTTCTAATAATAAAATTAGCACAATTTGCACCAATTACTCAAGTCAAAACTAGCAATCAACTTTATGTTCTGCATCCTCAATTAGTAGAAGTTTATCCATTGTTGAGAAGGACCCTCATGATGCTTTGCTATGTATTAATACTTATGAGCCCATTCCTACAAACATAACCAAATACAATGAACCTACTGCTCGAAAAACCTTTCTCTATTGTCTTCCTTGGACATGCTAACAGATATTATGTGTATGGATGGCCAATGGTGAAAACGAAAATATAGAATTTGCATACCATCAATGAATAAAAGAATGATATCACTGATTCTTTCATAAGAAAATGAAAAATAAACCAAAAAAATTATATACAATCGTTATATTCATGAAACACAGAACTGATATAGAAATAATGACTGAACCACCCATGTGCAGATGCAGAGCAAATGACATTTTGATTAAAGAATTGTATATACAATAATAATAATAATAAATCATGAAACTCGAAACTTAAATCAGAGCTATACCTCAAATCAAAGATAATTAAGACTTCAGTTAAGCATAAAAACAATCTGATGAACAAACCTTCAACTTCCCGTAGTTGAGCCAAAAACAGGACTGGATGAAAGACCTGTTGAAAAGAAACATATAATCAGAACAAAATAGGAGAAGAAACCGAAAGAACAAAATAGTATTAATAACTCTTAAGATGATATTTCCTGATCAAATAATTATTTCACATCCACTACTAATTGACATTTGACAATTTCATATCCCAAAAAATGACAGAATTTCATAGCAATTCAGCACATCAAGCATAAGTTCCATAATTCAATATCAAAATTACTTGAAAGAACCCCACTTGATAGGTGAATACGGCTTAAACATGACTTGACAAACTCTTCTAATTCTTTCTTCACCCATGTAGTAGCTCAACTGCTTAACCTCACATGCTCAAGAGATGATATTAAACAGCCAAAAGATGGCTGGCCAGACCACACAAAACATTATATTAAAAAAAATGAAGAGCAAGAATAATAAGCAAGAGAGTACAAGCCAAAGTCACCAATAAGAGTAAAGAAAAAGGAAAGCATCAAGATGAAAACCAAACAGCCGGAGATCCAAGATTTCTTACCAAAGGAGCTCATGGTCTCAAAAGGTGCTTTCAGAATAGGATCTCACCAGCTCAAGGTCGTTTCTCAAAATCGAAGCATCTGCAACACCAATTAGGAAGATAGGGCGTCAAGCTTTTGGGAATCACAACTCAAAATCGAAATCTCATCAAGCTCAAAACATAATTTTAGCATAAATTCATAGCAATCACACCATTCCGTCTCTGAATTTTAGAAACCCTAAACCCACCCATCCATCTATCAGGTTCCAAAATCCCAAGCCGTGCATGCATTGCTTAGATTTGAAAACTTGTGTTAAAACTGAAATCAAACTCGGATTCCTGAAAGGAACCAAGATCAAAAGCAAATGAATAACAAATAATCACAATGCAAAATACCAGAGCTATCTTTGAGTGATTTGTTGAAAACCAGCGGGAAAAGTTTGTGCCCAATCGTACAAACCAGAGCTATCTTTGAGTGCATGCATTGCTTATATTTGGTAACTGATTTGGCACTATTTGTAACCACTCATGATTTGGTCACTGGGAATTTGTAGTGCAAGCAGAGAGAAAAGTTCCTGGAGGCGCTAAGGATTGGATTTGGGCAAGGAAAGAGAAGAGTTCCTGGAGGCGCTAAGGATTGGATGGGCTCTTAGGATTTTCGATTTGGGCAACAAGAGAGGAGAGCGCGCGTCTTCTTCATCCTCCAAACCTGCCTTTCTCTGCACGTCTTCTTCATCCTCCAAACCTACCTTTCTCTTTCCTCACATGCCACTCATGTGTTGAATAACAAAGGGCTCAATAGGTCACTAAGTCATTGAATCTCAGCCATTGTTTTTTAACATGGAAACTCAGCCGTTGGATAGCCGGCTGTACCGGTACAGCCGAGGCACCACAGAATTTTCGAGCCAAAATTGATGCAAATGAGTGAGAATCAATATAGTGTTGAAACACCTGGGCTTCGACAAATGGGCCAATATTATTAACCAAAACAACCAGCGACCAAACCTCCCAAACCCCAATTATATATATTTTATTTTATTGGTGGGCCTGTGAACCTGTGGGCTGGGCTTTGATGGGCAGGCCGGGTTGGGCTTCCGTAGGCTCAAATGGGTCGGGCTTATGAGTCGGGCTGGTTTTAGATACCTTTGCCTAAGTCTAGCCCACTAAAAGAGGGGCTGGGCTTTTCCTCAATGGGCTAGGCAGGTCCCCATCAGTCTATGGGGTCGTGGGCCAAATGATGACCCCTAATTGAATGAAGGTAACAAAATAGTGTTATTCCCGTCGCATGCAACTTATTATTTAATTTCTTAGGCCTCTCCATTTTAGCATGAAAAGCCACAATTACAAGACAAGATTATTGTACGCATAAAAAAAAATTACAATATAAAGGTAGACGCGGTAAACAAAAACTTTCTCACACTAGATGTCCTTTTTGGTCAATAGAAAGATGAGAATAACCTATTCAAGTTGAATTGTCGTGCAATTAAGTCATTCTCTATTACAGTGCCCATAATTCATATTATCATGGAATGGATACTTTTGTCAAAACCTTAATATGAATTTTCCACTTATATGATTACATTGGTGATATCTAGAAACTTCCTTTCTAGTCATATCTACTCTGCAAAGATTCCCTTTATCATATCTTTAGAGCATTCCTTATTACGAGTATAGATCCTTTGTTGTATATTCACTTGCCTCTATGAACTTATTGAGAATCCTGAAGACCACCTTTTGAATCATATATGTTGACACGAATGTATAGGGATCTCGAAGATAGACGACTTGCCCACAAGACAACTATGATGTCTCAGGTCTGAGAACTAGTTTGCACTATTGCAGCTGATGAGTTTTAGTTTGACATGGGAGTAAGACCCTCATCCTAAAATTCGTAGTTTGATCGTGTTCAATTTACTTATCTCTCTAGGCACCTACGCACTTATCTTAGTTTCTCTATACGCAATGACTTGAGACTAGTCATTATCCCAATCGAGCGGATATAGTGTGTACCACTCTTTGCGGATGATCAATTCCCAATTAATAACCCTATGACTGGGAACATTTAGGAAATAATGTGGAAGTATGAGAGGTCTCCTTATATCCAATCTCATTGCATAGCTCTCACAATATTTCATATTCCAATGACTGTTGTTTTGCTATTATGATTATAGACCAAATATCATGGTTGAAAACAACAATCTTGCCCATAAGTGATGATGAAATATCCAAAAAGAAATATCACATGTTTGAATTTAGGGCATATTTTGAACATTATAGTCATCATGCAATAATTATTGGGCTTGTTTTTGAACATTGCTTGGCCATGCTAATATTTTATGAGTTGAACATACATGTTTATCATGTGCATAGTTTTAACATTTTATACTTCTATTTGTAGTAAATAATTATTTAATTTACTTTCAAATCTGATCAGGGTGTCCCCTTGATGCGGCCTTACTACTTGTCAATGTTAGAAATATGCCTGGAAGTGAATACGAAAATTAAACTTCTAAGGACATAACACTTCGCAAATATAATTAATAGAGTACAAAATCCACTTTAGGAAACTTATGCATAACCAATAAAGTGACAAGTCTATGGATTACGATACAAATAGAAACCAATCTAAAGATATAAGATTCACAAGAATTTTCCATTATGATGTATTTCATCCTAAAATGTTCCTAGTCATAGGATCACCAATTAAGAAATGATCCGCAAAGACTGGTACACACTGTGTCTGCTCAATCGGGAGGATGACTAGTCTCAAATCATTCGTGTAGAAACATTGAGAC